GTAAAAGGCAGTGAGGAGACACCAGATTAAAGTCCTAGAAGCCAGACATGGTGGCACACATCTGTAATTGGGAGGTTGAGGCAGGAGGATAACAAGTTCAAAGCCAGCCTCAGCAACTTAGCAAGGCCCTAAGCAATTTAGTGAGAATCTGTCTTTAAATAAAAAAATTAATAAAAAGGGCTGGGGATGTTGCTCAGTGATTAAGTCCCCCAGGATTTAATCCCTGCTAGCAAAGGAAAAAAAAAGCAGGTTTTCTCCCTCTGAGGCCACAGTTGCTCTACCCATGCTGCTCCTTGAACTCCAGAACCTCATCAATTGTCCCAAAGATTTGGAAATGTGTGGACATATACAAGTACCTCTTCATTTTCTCTGTGGCCAACATGAGGAACAGTAAGCCTAAGGACATCAGGAATACCTGGAAACATAGCCAAAGTTTTTTGGCAAAAACAAGGCGATGAGTGGGTCTTGGGTAGAAACTTGTCTGATAAGGATAGAGACAGCCTGCACCAGATGAGCAAGAAGTTGAGGGGGGAAGTTGGTCTCTTTTTTACGGACCATACAAAGGAGGAGATGAATGAGTGGTTCACAACATACACAGAAATGGACTTGCCTCTGCTGGCAACAAAGCAACTTTCACCCTGAGCCTGGATCCAGTGCCCCAGGAGCAGTTCCCCCACTCCATGGAGCCACAGCTGAGGTAGCGGGGCCTGACCATTGCCCTCAAGAGAGGTGTGGTGACCCTGCTGTCTGAATACCAGGTGTGCACAAAAGGTGATGTGCTGACCCTGGAGCAGGCTTGTGTCCTAAAGCTTTTTGGATATGAGATGGCTGAATTCAAGATGACCGCCAAATAACCATGGGATGTACAGTCAGGAAGTTTCCAGCAGATGGGAGATGACTTATCAGAATGCGCATCTGAGTCCTCAGAAGAATCAGAGGAAAATGAGGACATCTTACTCAGGGACTCAACACCAATATAAAATGGGGCTTTTGCGCCACCTGGTGGATGTAATTTTAAACTGCAGGCCTTTCCCTGGAGAGCAGCCCTCAGCGCTGGAGTGCCCAGAATCTGTTTCTGGCATCCTCCTGAACTTCAAGGAGCATAAGGCCCCAGGCTCCCCTGTGTCTTCAGACCTCACCCCTCTAGAATGAATGCAAGAAGACGGGATCCGAAGTCTAGGTGATTTCCTGAGAGACACTTCCCCTGTGCCTCCCAAGCAGGACTCACCAGCACTTGACCCCTATTGTCCCCAGAGGAGTGGCATGGTCTGTTCCTGTACATCTGCTTCCCTCAGTTTTGTGCTAACTTCTCAAGTTCTATCCCCTTTGTTGGTTCACCACCAATCCCAGCCCCCAATGTATGGGCAATTACCCTACAAGAATATTGAGATTTTTTTTAAAAAAATTAAGATAATGATGTCATATATAAAAATGCAGTATATATGCACAACAGAGTTTTACTCCACCATAAAAAATAATGAAATTATGGCATTAGCCAGCAAACGGATGGAAATGGAGAACATCACGCTAAGTGAAATGAGTCGGACTCCAAAAAATCAAGGGTCGAATTTGCAAAGAAGGCAGGTTGCCAGGGTTCAGGTATCATAAAGATAAAGGGGAGACCAGGCAGCGCACGGTGGCGCACACCTGTATCCCCGCGGCTTGGGAGGCTGAGTTAGGAGGATGGCAAATTCAAAGCCAGCCTCAGCAACTTAGGCTCTAAGCAACTCAGCAAGATAAATGGCCAATCAGTGGAGGAGAAGTAGAAGAAAGAGATGGAGAGGGAGGGAGGGAGGAGAGGAAGGGGCAGGAAACATGGAATGGATTTAACAAAATCATGTTATACGCCTATATAATTATTCCACAGGAAATTTCAACCTTATGTATACATAGAAAGTACCAACCGAAGATAAATAAATGAGCAAAAGAAAGATCAGAATAGAAGGAGAATAAATACGGGGAAGGAGGGAGGGAGGGAAAGGGGAAGGATGGGGACTGAAATTGAATTCTGTGCATGTATGATTTGGTCAAAATGAACCCAACTACTATGTATAAAGTAGTTGGGTTCATTTTAAAAATAAAAAATTTATAAAATTTATAAAGTAGTTTTTTTTTAAAAAAAAAAAAAACTGTCTTAAATACGAATTGTGATTCCAGAACAACACACTTTAAACTCCCATCCATCCCAGTTTGGGGGTGGTTTCCAGGGCGGCTTCACTCAGAGGTCCATGGAGTGACAGAGTCAGCAGGAGGAGGGGCCCCGACACCAAGCACCTGAGAAGCTCCTGCGCCCTCTTCCCACTCACACCAGACGCTGGGCCCTGCGGAGGCCCAGGACCTTGTTCTGTGAATGTTCTCCAAATTTTGCATGAACTTTTTTTGGAACCAGGGGTTGAACCCAGGGGCACTTAACCACTGAGATACACCCCCCAGCCCCTGTTTCATTTTTCATTTTGAGTCAGGGTCTTGCTAAATTGCTTAGGGCCTCGCTAAGTGGCTGAGGCTGCCTTTGAACTTGCGATCTCCTGCCTTGGCCTCCCAAGTCGCTGGGGTTCCAGGTGTGCCCCACTGTGCCTGGCTCCTACACAACTTTTGAGAGACACTTGAGTGGGCCATGTGGGTTAATGTTGTGGGAGAGACCAGAGGAAGAAGCAGGGAAAGGCTGTGCTGTGTTCCAACCTGAAGTGTCCCTGAAGGCCCGTGTGGCACAGGCTTGGTCCCCTGTGTGGTGCGATTCAGAGCTGATGGAAACTTTGAGGCAGGGCCAAAGGGGAGGCGTTAGGTCACTGGGGGTGTGCCCTGAAAGAGGACAGTGGGACCCCAGCCCTTTCCATTTCCCTTTTCCACCGTGAACTCCATGAACTCCTGTCAAGAACTCCCGCCATGAAATGGGTCTGCCTGATCACGGACTGGAACCTTCAAAACCGTGAGCCAAAGCAAACCTTTTCTCTTAATAAGCTGATCATCTCGGTACATGTTACAGTTGTGGAAAGCCGTTTAACACTGGGATCTCCACTAGGATCCTCAGTGACAGAGACCATGGCCACCCGCGTCAGTCCAGGCTTCGTCAGGAAAAGCTCAAGACACGGAGGGCCACCAGGATTAAAGAAAAATGCTGTGTCTGGAACTTCCCTGAGAGGGAAAAAGCCTTCATGGGCAAGAATCCGTGCAGTGGTGAAGAAGGAGGGTAAGGGCGCTCGTGGTTGGTGCTGGGAACCGTCAACTGGGTGTAGACAGTGACTTATGTCATTTGCCTCATTAACTAACACACTCGCTTTGTTCATAGACTCCGTGTACCTCAGCACTTAACGAATGTGACAAAAAAAGAAAAGGTGGCTGGCCACTGTTTCAAACCATGAAAATATCATCTCCTGCCTTTTAGGATTCCTGTTCAGAGAGTGCATTTTGACAGTGTTCAGGGACCTGCCACTTTACAGAAGTCTAATCATGTAAAAAAAAAGGAATGGAAACTCTGAGTCTCACCTGGTGCCAGGTATATCATAGGTGCTCAGTTAATCCTCAGAGAAGGATACCCAGGTGTCCATCCCCAGACCAGGGCCTAATGTGCCTGGGAGGTGGAGGGAAGGATGGAGCTCAGCCCAAGGCTGGAGAGAGTTCCAGAATCCAGGGCCCGGGTCGGGCCTCTGCCCACGCCTGCTCTCCCAGCGGCCCACTCCCCGCCTGATGGCCTCACGGTGGGTGAGGCTCACCGCCCTGGGGTAAGCAGAGCCCCTGGGATACGCACCTCTGAACAAACACCCACATGTCAGCCGGCAAATGCCAAAGCTGTAACTAGAAGAGTGACCCCTGAACCCCCCTCTCCCCAGCCTCTTCCACCTGGACCTTGAAGAAGTGAGGTCACTCTGGGAGCCAGGGGCTGGGTGGGGCATGGCCACATGACCTCCACAAGCCCCTTGTCCTCTCTGGCCTCAGTCCCCTGATCCATATAATGAGGGCTGACGGAATCTGACAGTCCCCTTCTTTGGAGTCATGTAGATCCAGGCTGAGGCACAGGCAGGGAGTGGAGCCGTCTCAGGGTCAGTGAGAGGACCAAGGACTTCCCCACCGAACCTTCTTTCCAAGCCACCTGCTTGGCCCCTTCCCGTAAGGCCAGGGGTCCCAGGCGGGACTCATCCAGGAGTCTCCCTGCTCAGGGGCTGGCCCAGCGCTGTGTCCCAAAGCCCCCGAGTCCTTATTGACTCCTGCACTGTGACTCAGGCCAGCGCAGGCCCCGTGAGGGGGTGGGTGTTTCCTGCCGGCTGGGCGCAGACAGGGTGGCTTCCTGCTTCTGGGGAAAGGAGGTGAGTTCAAGAAGCTCTCGTTGATGAGGGGGACACTCCTGCTCTTTCTCCCCGACCTGACCTGGGGTTGCCGAGCAGAGGCTCTGACCCCCCCAGGCCCCATCAGCCCTCAGGGCTGGGAGCAGAGAGCAGCTGCTGAGGGGACAGAGGTGTCCTAGTGCTCTGGAGCAGCCCCGGGTGGCAGAGCCCTAGCCAGCAGCACCGACGGCAGCAGGGCACGGCCTGAGGTTCCACGGAGACCATCCTATGGAAGATTCCCACTGCCTTGGGAGCTCAGGGCGGGAGAAGCAACCCCATTTTACAGATGAGAAGCCACTCCACAGAGGTCACCTGGCAGGTACAGGGACAGGAGCCCAGGAAACCACAGGTGGCGAGGAGGATGGTGGCCTTCACTGGGTCATAGTCATAGGGCCACCTGTGATGGCACAGAGGATGAGGAGGTCGGGCCAATTAAAATAAAGAGCTCAGCCAAGATGCCATGGACAGACAGGGGGCTGGGCCTTGGCAGAAAAGTGTCCCCTAAGGTCAGCAAGCCTCGTTTCCTTACCTAGAAACCTCAGGGGCTTAGTATGTGAATTAAATGAGATAAGACATAAGTGAGGTCCTCAGCATGAGGCCAGCACACAGGAAGCTCTTAAAAAGCACCAGCTACCAGCACGGTCATTTGCTAAAGCCGCCAAAGAACTGACTCTTTTCCCATTTCATACGTCATCCCCAAGGGTGGGTTTTTATAAGTGCACCCCTTTTGCAGATGAGGAAAACTGAGCCTCTGTGAGGGACCTCCAGTCCTCTCTTGGGCGGGGCCAGAGCCTGGCCACCTCTCCTGGGCTGGGCAGGTACCCAGGATAGGACAGCAAGACAGTCCACTCTGTTTGCATTACACAAAGGTTGACCAGCCTCTCCCAGTGTCCTGGGTGTGAGGCCTCCCAGCTCTCAGCCACCCCAGGCCCCAGGCAGCTTGGGGTTCCAGACGACAGCTACGATTCCAGGATCACACAATCTGTCTGGGAATCCCCGCTGCCCTGCAAGGAGCCAGGGGGCTGCCTCGAGGGGAGGCTTGGTCTCCGCCCCATCCATGCCCGGAGCCTGCTGGCCCCTCACAGAGGGACCACAAACATCTTGTCCTTGAAGTCCATCCCGCCCTGCTCCTGGCTCTCCGGCTGCTCCAGGTGGCTGCTCTTGTGCCGGACTTTCTCCTATGGAGTCTTCAGGAACCTGGAATCCAGATCCCAACCACAAATCAGCACCTGCCCCCCACACAGGGGGCTTCCCCTTGTCCCCTGGTCCCCAGGCTGCTCACCTGAACAGCAGCTTCTGCCCCGGCTCCTTCCTGATGATGTTCAGTTTGTAATAGTGGCGCAGGGCATGGGACATCTTCTCATAGGTCATGTTCACCCGGTTCTGGAAGGTGAAGCAGCCCCAGGTCAGCCCCCGTTCGACAGCCCAGGCCTCCAAACTTCACTCTCCACACGGTGAAGGGAGTAGACGGGGCGGAATGCTTTCCCAAGCCCCTGGGCCCAGGGCTTGGCAGGGTTTAGTGGCACTCTGTTGAGTTTGGAAGGAGACAGGCAGAGGTGGTCAGGGAAGGAAGGAGGGGAGACTACGCAGTGGGAGCGGACCGCAGGTCACTTTTCCAAAGCAAATGTCACAGCAGTAATAAATAACCACACATGCCCTGTGGGAAACAGGGAGAGGCTGCGTGGTGGGACTGCACGGGTGGCTTTGGCGCCAGTGAGTAGCATGACTGTGGCCAGGTCCCCGACTTCCCTCTGGAGGGCAGGCAGTACAGGGTCAGCGCGGGAAGCCTGGGTTTTGGCATCAGTGAGCCCAACTTCACCACTTGGCAGCTGTGTGACTTTGGACACGTTTCTGTATCTCTGAGTCCATTTAAATTGAAATGAAATGAAAGTTTCATTTGTTGTGAGGTTTGTTGTGAGGATTAAGTTAGCTGATTCGTGAAGATCCTCAGCACAGCGCTTGGCATTAGTATGTGCTCATTGAGTGGAGCTGCTGCACTCTGGGCCTCAGTTTCCCTGCCTGGGCGATATGGGGTTGGACCAGATTAAACACCCTCGAACTTTAGTCATTAACATCCTTCCGGCCACCGGCACTGCCAAGAGGCTGCAGAATAGTGCAGGGCAGTTGCTAGCCCAGGCACAGTCCCCACACTGTCCCCTTATTGGGCTAAACTCTTGGCACTTGCTAAACCTCTCTGTGCCTCAGTTTCCACATAACACCTGCCTCACAAGGGCTGCGGTATTAAGTGAGTTAACACAGGGAAAGCCCTCCCAACAGCAGAGGGCAGGCAGGTGCCACTCACTGCATTTTAGGAAATGCTAAAAACTGCTGATTATCATTATTTTTTAAAGTTAACCAAAAACACCTTTATTTTTTCAGTCTTCAAAAAACAAACTACTTTTTTTTTTCCAGGACAAACACGATTAACTTAGAAAACTGGTCATACAATTCAAGTTCAAAAGCATTCCCCTTTAATGGGAAAATTAGCTTTAGAGAATCTAAACATTAAAAATTTTTAAAAAAATCTACTTTGTTGCCATTATTAAACAAAATGGAATCCACCAGAAGTCAAGGGAATTCATTCATATCTCAGGTCCTCCTCCTCCCAGAACCAGCATCGTTATATTGTTTCCATTTAGCAAAATCTGATCTGAGCAGGGCACAGTGACACAGGGCTGTAATCCCAGGGGCTCGGGAGGCTGAGGCAGGAGGATCCCAAGTTCAAAGCCAGCCTCAGCAACTTAGTGAGTCCCTAAGCAACTCAGAGAGACCCTGTCTGTAAATAAAATGTAAAAAAGGGCTGGGGATGTCTCTCAGTGGTTAAGCACCTCTGGGTTCAATCCCTGGTATCAAAAAAAAAAAAAAAAAAAAAAAAAACTCATCAAATTTAGTAATCCTTCTTTCTGATGTGATTTCAAAATTCAGTGACATCTCCCAGCACTATATTGACAAAATCATCAAGTCCTAGAAGTGTCCCAACAATTTCTTTATCCCTCTTTGTCACCATGTGAATTCTTGTCCACAAGCTCTCAAAGCACCAGCCGTAACAGGGTGGCAGCAGCAGTGGCCACTGTGGCTGTGCAGAAAGTAGCCAGTTCTCTTCAAAAGACTCTTTTCTTTCCTTAAAGGAACCCGGATAGCGGGATGAACCCAGCAGCCCTCACCCACAGAGCCACACGGCGCCTCTTTTCATTTTTTATTCTGAGACAGAGCCTCGCAAAATTGCTGAGGCTGGCCTTGAACTTGTGATCCTCCTGCCTCAGCCTCTGCACTGGGATTCCAGGAGTGCAGCACTATCATTCCTATGTCACCACTGTGACCCTGAGACGGAGATGGCCGTCCCATTTGTTAATACCAACCCAAAAATAAATGTTGAATCCTGAGCACTAGGGTGAACCGCCTGCGATCTCCTCATGGACACCCACTTAGCTCGGCCCTTCAGCCCCCAGGGGAGCGAGGGACCTGGGTTTCTTCCCACCCTCCCTCAGATACCCAGCTTCCTCTTCTGGGCTAACCGGCAGGCACCATGCAGTCCACGCCAAGATCTTTGAAAGGCTCATACACCAGGGGTAGAGGCTGGTCTAGCTGGTGAGGCCCTGGGCTCCCTCCCCAGCACTGCCCCCCCAAAGAGGCTTAAGTACTAAGCAAAGGCGAGGTCACACCTCAGGGACATCCTCCATCCGTAAGAGGTGACTTTTAACCACTGCACTTCTGGGACCCCAAGGGAAGGGAAGGCTCCATTATCGAGGATGGTCCTCTGGTGCCCCGGGGTCCACTCTGACCCCTCGCTCTGTCCCCTGGGTATGTGGAGACCACCCCGCCCTCTGGTCTAGCTTCACCTTTTGGTTCCCCCAGAGTCTGGCGAGCCCGTTGGGATCCACGACTCGGAAGACCTTGGCGTCCTTGTCCTCCCACCTGACGTAGGGCTCGTACCTGGCGTCCCGGAGCAGCTGGTACACGTAGTCCCACAGCAGGTGGCAGTCTGCAGGTCAGCACAGAGGAGCCATGAGGACCGTGTCCCTGGGGACCTGGAGGCCAGCCCAGGGAGCCCCAGCAGGAGGATGAAGACAGTGGTGTCAACAGGAGCAATGGGGGCTCTTCTGTACCTCAGAACTCTAGGAGGTGGCTCATAACCCCAGGGGACGCGGGAGGGGATGGGCTCAGGGGGCAGGCGGAGCGCCAGGCCAGCCCAGCTCTGCAGACACTGGCCAGCTCCCCTATGCCAGGGTTGGCGGGGCCCACGGGCAAGACCCTGCCCAGGCACTCAGCACCCTGGACCCAGGAAGTGCCCAGAAAAATCAGCGCCCAAGGGCACCCTCGCAGATCTGAGCCCCAGGGCCCCGGGCCATATCCCTTCAGGAAAGTCACCCGAGGCAGCTTCCCTGTGAGGGTGGTGATGGGTGGTAGGTGATCAATGTGCCCAAAGCCCTCAGGACAGGTGGTTTATTGGCCTCGAGTCACTTCTGACCCAGAAGCCAGGCTTCCTCCCGTCTCGTGTCTTAGTACTAAGCTGGTGGCCCCACCATGGCTAGGAACATTTTCCGGAAAGACGGGTGGCTTCTCTGTCCCTGTGTCTGGCTGTCCGCCTAACAATCAATCCCTTAACAATGAAGGCGGACCGTGAAGTGATTCACCAGGTTAAAGGGCAGGCTCTGCAGCTAGACAATCTGGGTTCACATCCCAGCTCCGCCATAAGTGCTGTGTAATCCCAGGGAAGTCCTTAACCTCTCTGTGCCTTGGTTTCCTTATCTATGAAACCAGGCTAAAATAGTACCCACATCAAAGAGCTGTTGTACAACTAAATGAAGGCCTTGGAACCAAGCTTGGCACATAGTAAGTGCTCAGTAGAGTTTTAAGAGTTATGGAGCAGTGGCGGAGGGGCGAGAGGGGACAGGGGCAGGTACTTTAGCCAACCTGAGTGTCCGACTCTGACTGCCTAAATTGTCCCTGCCCTGGGGACAGGCTGGGCTTGGCAATCCTAAGCAATCCATCTGCTATGGTTCCAACTGTGGCCAACACACAGGACATCACCCCACTTCCCACCCCCGGCCCAGATCCCCTCACCCCTGGTCCCTGTCACCCATGACCCCTCTGGGACCCAGCCTCAGCACACCTCACGCCCGCCCAGGGAACACAGCCCCCTACTCACCTGCGATCCTGCCATCAATGGGGGCCCGTGGCATCCTGGGGAAGGAGCAGACCCCCCTGGTCCTGCAGCCGGGCTCTGCACAATGAGATAATCTGAGGGGCTGCCTGGCTGGACTGAGAGAACCCAGGTGGCTGAAGGAGCTGGCAAGCCCCAGGGCTGGTGGCTGTGACAGAAGGCACTTGGCGGTGGGTTGGGGGGCTGCCTGAGAGGGCCCGATCCCCTCTGCAAGCAGAGAAGCACACTGATCTTGTGCGCCCAGGGCCTCCCTGCCCAGGGCCTCCCTGCCCAAGCCCTCAGCATGAGCCTGGGACTCCTGTGGCTAAAGCTCTTCCCTGTCCACCTCCTGTGAGAGAGTGGGGAGGCCATGAAGTGCAGTGGCCGGGGCCAGACAGCCCAGCCAGCCCGTCACTCAGCCTCTGCTCCCTACAAGTCACTCGACCTGTTTCCTCTTTGATGCAAAGTCAAGCTGTGACAGCGCCAGGCCTAGAACCCAGGTGCCAGCATCCAGCATCCTCGCCATTTGCCCAGGAAATATTAAGAACTGTCTGTGAGCCAGGCATCGCACTCAGAATCTCAGGGACACATCCCTGAATCCAGAAACCTCTCTGCTGATCTGACACTGCTGTCTGACTCCGACTGCCGACATCGTCCTGGCCCTGGAGATAGGCGAAGCAGTACTACCTGCTACTGGGACTCATTATTTTTGTGAGAACAGATGATTAAAATGAAAAAGAAGATAAAAGCAGTCCTCAAGATGGGGAGAAAAAATAAAGCTTGCAGACAGATGAGGAATCTGGAAGAGGTTCTGCTGCAGGCTGACATTTGACGGAGCCCTGCAGGAGGTAAAGGAGGGAGCAATGCCAGTACTGAGAAGAGAATCCAGGCAGAGGGGACAGCAGGAGCAAAGGCCCTGGGGCACAAGCATAGCTCTGGCTTGTTCAGCACACAAGAAGCCCTTGTGGCCATAGCAGCAGGAACAAGGGGGAGGCCTGAAGAAGGAGCAGAGGCCGCTGTAAGGACTGTAGCTTCGACTCCAAGTGAGAAGGGAGCCACTGGAAGATTCTGAGCAGAGGCAAGACACAGCCTGACTTAGCGGTCTCTGGCAGCTCTGTGGGGAACGGATCATTGGAGGTCAAGAGCGGAGGTGAGGAGACCAGCGAGGAGGTTCTCCAGAGGTGATGGGGCGGCACGGGGACCAACAGTTGGGTGCAGGAAGTGCATGGATTTGGCAGAGGTTTGAAGGTGGAGCCAACAGGATTTGTTGGCAGGATGAAGACGGAGGAGAAACAGGAATCCAATGTGATGTCTGTTAGGGTTAGGAAATGAGGGTCCCCCCCAAAGCTCCTGTGTTAATGCAGAAACATTCAGAGGTGAAGCAATTGGTTTAGGAGAGCTGTCACCTGACAGCAGATCAATCATTTGATGGTTTAATAATCTGAAAGGACTACAGTATGGCGGAGGGGGGGGACCATGGGGGGGCAGTCCTGGAGCAGGTGGGTCAACAGGGCCCCCCAGAAGGGTTCTCCCGCCCTGTGCCCCTTCCCTCCTTCCTCTCTGCTTCCTGGCTGCAGTGACCTGACAGTCTTCTCCTCAGCCCCCTCTGCCGTGGTGCTTGGGCCCAGAGCCATGAAACCAGCCAACCATGGACAGAAACCTCTGAAACCATGATCTCAAAATAAGTTTTCCTCCTCTAAGCTGTTCTGCTCGGTGTTTTGGTCATAGAGATGAAAACCCAATTAACACGCTGTCCAGTGTTTTGAACTAAGCTTGGCAGGAGGAGCCGGGTTTTGCTGGAAAGGAGCAGTGTGGGGACATGGGGCCCCTGGTTTAGGAGCTGCTGGGGTTGAGATGCCCACTAGACACACTGGAGGGGGGACAGGAAGCGTGGGGGACAGATCAGGGCATGCCTGGGAATCACTGGCAGTACCTAATGTGAATTTCCAAGATCCAAACACCTAATGCCTGAATGTAGACAGAGAAGAGCCCCCTGACCCCGGGTGCCTGACATTTGGAAGTAGGGAAGAAGAGGAGGACCCAGAGAAGGAGATTTTTGAGGAGTGACCACTGGGGCTATAGGAAATCAGGCAAGTGGGACATCCTGGAAGTCAAAGGAAGAGGGTGGCAGGGAGATGACCTCTAGGTCAAAGACCGCAGAGGCCACAGTAAACAGGACTGAGAGGGTGTGGGCGTCCCATGCTCTGGCGCCTGGCAGGAGCGGTTTCCATGGAGACAGAGGCAGGAGGGGGACCCCGGCCTCATTCAAACGACTGCAGGAGCCAGGCTGGAGGGGGAGAGAGGCCAGCCCCTGCCACCCCTCCCTGGCTTTGCCCTGAGGATGGCCGGTCCCGCCACGAGGCTGACCTGAGCGGGCTCGGAGCTTCAGGAAGGGCCTCCTCACCTTCCGGGGCCTGGGGCAGCCCGGGGCGCGTCCTCTGCCGGCAGGTCCCCGGGAGGAACGGCCTGCACACCAGGGCTCGCCGCTGGGTCTTGATGAACTGGAGCAGCTCATACAGGACGTCACCTGGGGGTGGGCGGGAGGCAGGCTGCTGGCCAGGCCAGTGGGGAGCCCAGTCTTTGTCCCCTGTGGTCACCTGCCTCTCGGGGCGAAGCCCAGGGTGTCCCGTCACCAGCATCCTGCTAAAGGAGGTGGGGGCTCCGGCTGTTGGGGCTGACAAGGGGCACGGCCAATGTCGCCCCCTGGCGGTTACAGCTAAAAAGACATCCCTTCCTGGTAGAGGAAGGTGCTGGGCACCAAGGTCACCAAGGTACCCCCCCCCAGGTCAGGCTGAGCACCCCCACATGCCCCCAGTTGAGGGCCTGAGTTCAGTGCACAAACTGCACAACCGTGTCTCACATCCCTGGAGGCAGAGGTAGTTCTTCTAAGGCTCAGGATGATAAATAATAGGCAGACGTGAGTGGCGGGAACATGAGGTCAAGGGAGTAATTCTACACATTGGGCCCACTGCCCTGACCGGACCCCACATACTTGCTTGTTTTTTTTCTTCCTTTTTTTTTTGTGGTACCAGGGGTACTTTACCACTTAGCCACATCCCTTTTAGTTGTTGTTGTTGTTTGGAAACAGGGTCTCACTAAGTTTCTGAGGCTGGCCTTGAACTTGCAATCCTCCTGCCTCAGCTAATCAGAACACAAGGGCTGGGGTTGTGGCTCAGTGGTAGAGCATTTGCTTGGCGTGTGTGAGGCACTGGGTTCAATCCTCCGCACTACATAAACATGAATAAATAAATAAAGGCATTGTGTCCATCTATGAATAAAAATATTTTAAAATATAAAAAGAAGGGCTGGGGTTGTGGCTCAGTGGTAGAGCACTTGCCTAGCATGTGTGAGGCTCTGGGTTCAATTCTCAGCACCGCATATAAAAGTCTATTGGTAACTAAAAAAAATATATTTAAAAAATAAAATAAAAAGAAGAACACAAGACCCTCCCCACCGAGCAGTGGGAGATGGGGGAATGGAGATTTTGTGACTCTTACACAGACCTGGTCTTAGAACTCAGGGAGCTAAGAGGAATTCCCCCAACCATAATATCTATAAGAACAGGTTCCAATTAGAACCAGTCAGCACAGGACAAAGTGACCTCGAGTTCTCCTGGAACTTCACCAGGCGCAGTGGGCACTTGGATATTTAACACAATCCTGCTGTCAGTCAAAAGTCAAGAGGTGAACTTGGGCAGGACTCTGGAAACTTCCCTGGGACCCTCCAATAAAACTTCTGTCTGAGAGGACCCACTCTCCATTAAGTATGACTCCCGTTCCCTTTTTCCTATCCCTTCTAAACTTTGTTACTTTTTTTTTTTTTTAAACTAAATTTTGTGTCTTCCTGAAATCCTCTCAAAAAAGAACAAAATAACCAAGGGTAGGGATCTCAGCCCCCTGCTGGTCTCCTCTGCATAATGGGATTCCACAAATTTCATTTCACGGCTGCCCCTGTAGGGTGCACTGGTGCACACCTGTAATCCCAGTAGCTCCAGAGACCAAGACAGGAGGATTGCAAGTTCAAAGCCAGCCTCAGCAACAGCCAGGCCCTAAGCAACTCGAAACTCAGTGAGACTCTGTCTCTAAATAAAATACAAAATAGAGCTGGGGATGTGGCTCAGTGGTAGAGTGCCCCTGGTATCTCCTCCCCGCAAAAGGCTGGCCTGTCTTCTGAGGGACTGAATAGTCTTAACCTCTTCCTAAAGGCAGGTGGGCCCTGTCCATAGTCCCAGAAATGCCTCTTGACTCACACCTTTGGGCTAAGTTGCTGATGGTAAGCAAGAAAAAGGGAAGAGGAAAGTGGGGGGATCCCTGGGTGGAGAACCACCTGACAGCCATGGGGTAAGAGGTACACAGTGGGCTCCTGAGGACCAGGGTTGCTTGCAGGAAGTGAGAGAGAATCACAGGCATGCTAGGGAGCAGGCCTGTGCTCACCTCAGCCCAGCCCTGCCTCTACCCAGACAGTCTCCGCTGTGGGAGAAGCCAGAGCCTGGTTCTCCTCCCACCACCCACCAGCCCCATTAAAACCAGGGAATTTCTAGCTGGGTGCAGGGGAGCACACCTGTAATCCCAGTGACTCGAGAGGCTGAGGCAGGAAGACTGCAAGTTTAAGGCCAGCCTCAGCAACTTAGGGATGTAGCTCAGTTAAAACACCCCAGGCCCAATACTCAGTACTAATAAATAAATAAATAAATAAATAAATAAAATCCAGGGAATCATTGAGAATAATTAACTGCATATTTCATAATTTCCAGAAGAGGGGACTCCTGAATTTTCCCAACATAAAGAAATGATAACAGTTTGAAGTGCTGGATAGGCTCATTACTGTGACAGCACATTGTATACATGTGTTGGAATGTCACACTGAAGCCCATAAATAAGCACTAATACAGTGTGTTAATTTTTTTTTAAATGGGTTTTTTTGTGTGTGTGTGGGGGGGGTGTTGTTGTTGTTTGCTTGTTTGTTTAATTTAAATCCAGGCACAGCCATTCAAGAAGGCTCATGAGGGGGAAAAGTGCGGCAGAACCTGAGAGGTGGCAGTGCGGTGGGGTGTGTTAGAAGAAAAGAAGTAAATTAGAATAGTTGAGAAAACCCCTTCTGCCACTCAGGCTTTGGTCTTGCTTGCCAAAGACAGGCTGCAGAGAAAACAAGAGTGTCTTCTTAAGAAGACACCAGATCAGCACCAACATGAAGAGCCACCAGCGAGAAGGCCAAGGGAGGGTCAGACGGACTCCAGAGGCTCTGCTGCTGCCACCACCAGATTCTGCTCCTGAAACATGGTTCCTTTGACCTCAGGCCGGGTTCTGGCTAAAATAAAAACTCATACAGGGGGCCAGGCTTGAGCTCTTATCAGTGTGAATCAATGAATTCTGGAACTTTCTCCAGTTTTGCTCTTGGCTGGGAGGGAGCGCCTTCCCGAGAAGGCTCCCTGCAGGACCCCAGGGGCTTGGGGCCTCCCGGGCCTTCCAGGGTTCCCACCAACTCACTGAAGAGTGGAGCCCGGAGCTTCCCTCACCTGAACCCGGAGCGCGGCGGCGGAAATCGTCCTTGGTGAGGATGCAGAGCGCGCGGCCGTTCAGCTGGAAGCCGCGCTCCGGGGTGCGCGGGAGCGAGTACTCCTGCTCGGCCCAGCGCAGCCAGTGCAGCACGTCCTCCCTGCTCCACAGCGCCGGCTGGAGGCCTGGGCGGCAAGCACAGGCTGGGGCGGGGCAGAGGCTGGCACCTACGCCCCATCCGTCTGTCCAACCATCATCCATCTGTCCATCCATCCATCCATCTGTCCATCCATCCATCTGTTCGTCCATCCATCCATCCATCCATCTGTCCATCCATCCATCCAGCTGTCCATCCATCCAGCTGTCCATCCATCCATCCATCTGTCCATCCATCCATCCATCCATCCATCCATCCATCCTTCCATCCATCCATCGTTGCTCCTGCTCCAGGAAGTCAGGGCTTCCAGTCCTCTGAGAAGCCCACCCTGAACACTCTAAGTGGGTCCCTTCCCCAAACCCCATCACCTCCTCTCACTGTCCGTTCTTTTCTGTCGCACCACCTTGCTTTTACATTTGCCATAATTATGTGCTAGCTTTTATCACTCTATATGTATTACGGATGCATCTGCTTATTTATTGTTGGTACCCCACCCCTGCCTGTTTTCCAATCATTCCTTCAACAAATGTTTAATGGGGACCTGCTATGACACTGGACTGGGTACTCGGAGGCACATTGTCTGTGTATTCTGCACCTGGAACACACACATGTATGTGTATATATGGCCCCCCACCTCCACCATTTACAAAATCAACTCCAAGTGGGATGGGTTCCCAAAAAATAGAACAATAGAAATCTTAAAATAGAAACAGAAAATTATATGCACTGAAGGAGTAGGGAAGACCTTAACCATGACAGGAAACACAGAGGCTACCAAAATAAAACACATTTGACTATAATTGGGGGGGAGAGCAAAACACCACAAATGAAACTAAAAGAGGGTAGATTTGGGGGAAATATTTACATCACAGATGACAGATAAAGGACCAGTGCCCATCAAAGGTCAAGACAAGAAAAAAAAGTTACCAGTAATTCACTGAATCCAGCAATTCAGTGTGGTCTAATTTCTCACCTCGGGTCCTATTAGCATGGTGGGCCCCATCTCTTTGCTGTGGTGGCTGTCCTGTGCATTGAAGGGGTTTTAGTAGTATCCCTCCCCTCTGCCCACTCGATGGCTCTCTGCCCACTCAGTGGAGGCCCAGGTAGAACAACAAAAAATGTCTCCAGACATGGCCAAGTGTCCCTCAAGAAGAAAGGCAGACAAGATTTGCTGCCTAGCAGCTTGGCAGGAAAACATCCCAACTGGATGGTTATTCTCCAGCTGAGGGATATTTGGAAAGTTTCCGTTTATTTTCTATTGGTGGGGACGGAGCTCAGTAGAGGAGTGTTTGCTAGCCGCATGAGGCCCTCACTCAATCCCCAGTGCCAGGGGCTGGGGCTGGGGCTCAGTGGTGGAGCGCTTGCCTGGCACATTTGGGGCACTGGGTTGGACCCTCAGCACAACACAAAATTAAATAAATAAATAAATAAGCAAACAAATAAATAAATAAAGGTATGGCGTCCATCTACAACTAAAAATAAATAAATAAAAATTCCCCAGTGTCGCACACACAAAGAACAGGCCATGTTAGCCAGGCAGGTGGTACATGCCTGTAGTCCCAGCTACTCTGGGATCTGAGCCCATGAGTCTGAGACCAGCCTGGGCAACACAGCCAGGCCCTGTCCCAAAACAAAGAAACAAACAAAACAGAATAGGCAATACCAATCTGGGGAGATAAATCAGAAGAGTCGTCATCCTTTGAATGGGAACGGGAGGCACAAGGAAATCTCCTGGGGTACTGGAAATGTCCTAGACCCTGATCTCAGGGGTGGCTACACGGCTGTCTATGCACATAAAATTCACGGAGCTGCACCCTGAAATACACTTGACTGAGAGTTGGACCGCAAAAAAAAAAAAAAAAATTATGAAAAGTAAAAACACACAATGAATAGTACTGATGATGGTGTCAGGCCAGCTGTGACCTAAGTGACTACCTCTGTTTCCTCATCTGCAAACCCGGAATGATGACAAAATCCACACCAGCCACACAGGACTGTGCCAGGGAGGCTGTGAGGTCACCAATTTAAAGAGCCGTGCCTGGCAAAGCCACAGGCTTGTTCTGAGACAAGGCTTGGTACGGCTGTCAGATGGGGTGATACTTGTGAAATACCTGGCACAGCAGCCAGCACACAGGGCTCAGCCGGGCTACCAATGTGGCATAAGGAGTCCACTCCCTCCAAGAAGTCTCCCTGACCTAGTTTCTGGATGAGCGTCTCTGGATTCTCCTTACCAGTCCAACCAGGTTGACTCTCCAGGTTTCACCTGCCCACAACCACGGCCTCTCCCTCTCTCTGCAATAATCCAATGTATTTTCAGTTTTATCTTATTAACTGTGTCTGTCTCTCGAGATTCCAGTCAGATATCGCCTTACTCTCCCCCTGGTGGGTCACTCACTGGGGATTTCCAGCTTGGTTGGCTCCCAGCTCCCAGGACAGATCTGGGCAGTGGTCCCAGCTGGGGCAACCAGCCAAGCTGCCTGCCTGATCTTTCCAGTTTATGCAGTGAAGCATGGGCTCCATCCCAGGCACTGAGTTTGGGAAGGGGAAAGGTCTTCATTCTCCAGTCCTTAATTTGTAGAATTTCCCATCTACTGCTAGCCATCTTCCTTCTCATCATCAGGGGGTGACGTCACTGTCAAAACTCTCCCTTCTGGGCTGGGGTTGTCGCTCTGTGGTAGAGCGCATGCTCAGCCTGCCTGAGGACCTAGTTTCCATGCCCAGCACCCCGCCAAACAAAAGTATTTATCTTGTCCCATTGAATTGATTGAACTTCCTTAGTAAACCTTGACCAGCATTTTGAAAATAAATAAATGGGGTCCTCAAACCAGCAGCATCAGCAGCATCAGGAGCTTGTTAGATGCAGAATCTCAAGTTCCACCCCAGACCTACTGAGTCAGAATCTGTATCTCAACAAGGTTCCCAGAAGATCCACATGCACACTGGAATCTGAGAAGCCCTGGTCTACAATACCAGGAAACCACGCTTGTTAGAATGTACCTATTAAACTAAATGCCACAGGGAAACAACCAGAGAAGGAGGTGGAGAGGTGCCACCCTGCCCCTGTGAGATAGAGGAGGGGGCCCTGTAGGTCTCTTCCCATGGCTTATTCACAATGAGGAGTTTTAAAAGTCAATTCCAAAATGCAAAGCTGTCCCCATTCCTTGGCACCCAAGTAGGATATTTGCAGAGCTTCTTTAGGGAGCCAGCTGTGGGGAACCAAAGAGGCTCAGGAGCAGGAGCAGGCACGAAGACCCCCAGGGCGACCACCTGTGTCACAGCTGACTCTGTGGCCCTCACTAAGCCTCCCCACCACCTGGCCTCTTTCATTGCCACTTCTACCCTGGGGAAGTTGGGCCACACCCTGCCAGAGCTCCATGGGCCCCACTCTTGCATCCCGGCCCACCTCCTGTCCTTTGCCCCTGTCTAGACAGCGCAGTTGTCCTTGGAGTGAAACTGCCACTGCTCTCCTGCACATCGTTATCTGGCAGGCAAATCAACACAGAAGAGCAACACACAGGAAAGAAGATGCTCTTCATCACACGCCACCTCACAAGCCGAACACAAGCCGAAGCAAGATCTATTTAGTTTATTCACCTTCCTGCTGCGTCACATCAGCCCTGGAATCTAGAGGTGGAAAATGGAATGGAGTGGGTGACTGGGAAAAAATATGTCAGAGAGACGCCCTGAGAGGGCAATCGGTTTCTAGAAACGAGGGGCGCAAGAGGTTGCTATCACCCCAGGCACCTGCAAAGCCGACCTTCAACTGGTGTCAGCAGTTTGCTTATTTAGAATGTTGTTGGCAGGAAAATGAGTCATTTAGTGTCCCCTAGTTACCAAGGTCCAGAACTGGGTGGGGCGGGAGGGTCTGAATATCCTCAGAAGTCTCCATGGTAGGAATCATGGACTCTGTGGTGACGGGGGAGTGGACGCTGCCCACAGCACTTGGCCTCAAGGCTCCACTCTCAAGGCGGCCACCCCACTCCCCCAGGAGCTTTTGGTGACTGCAGGAGCCCCCCTCGGCTGGTGCATGGGGTGAGGTGGACATGCTGGAGTCAGGACCCCTGGAGACAGCCCTTGCTCCATCATGGATGGGCAGTGAGGGGGTAAAGCCCCAGCTGCCTTACTCCCCAGGTGGGAAAACTCAGGGTATGCCCCTCCCTGTTCCCAGAGATGACCACTGGGATGGAGCACATGCTGTCCACAGTCTTAAATGGCCTGAGGAAACTTTCTGAATTTCCTTCTCTACTCTCTCTCCCCCAGTCCTAGCCACTATTTCGGGGTGGGCTCCTGAGGAGGCCTGACCTAGTTAGCAGGACAAGTGCCTCAGGAGCCCTGATCTAGGGGACAACAGGCCACAGTGACCTCACCCTGAGTGGTACAACCAGAGCACAGGCTGATCCAAGAGGGGTGGGTGTGCCTGTCACTTGAAGTACGCAGGAGACCTGGGGATCCAGAGGGCCCCACTAAAGGGGTTCTGCCTTGGTTGGTTTTGGTGCCCTTGGTGAAGACTCCTTGTCACTCATTCGTTCATTCAACAAACAAATAGTGAGTTTCTGAGCTTATAAATTAAATGTGGTCTTATGGAACTTACGATCCTCCCCTTTCCCGTGTTCCAGGGAGAGTCGTGGATCTTGAGTTTTTGATTTTTTTTAAGTTTTTGTTTGGTTTGTTTTTCGAAGGTCTTGAGTTTGAACTTCACTTTTAGGAAGTGTTTTTTTATTTATTTATTTATTTTATTTATTTATTTTTTTAATATTTATTTTTTAGTTTTCGGCAGACACAACATCTTTGTTTGTATGTGGTGCTGAGGATCGAACCCGGGCCGCCCGCATGCCAGGCGAGCGCGCTACCACTTGAGCCACATCCCCAGCCCCAGGAAGTGTGTTTTAGAGGTCGAGTTAAAAGAGTTAAAATTTCCGTCCTTATGTCTTTAGTTAATAGATATGTAGGTGTGTCTTAAAATCAGATCAAATTGTTCTTTTTTTTTTTTTTTAACCCACTTTTGGAGAAAACAAGAACTCCAGAAGTCTTTTCTTGAAGCATGCAAAGAGTCATTAATCACAGGGTGGGGGTGCCTGGTAGTCTTGAGCTACTCCTCCCAATTCCTACCCCCCCCCCGCCCCAGCTCTGGCTCTGCCCCAGCTTTCAGGCTCCCTCACCCCCAGCCTCGCCCTTCCCTACATCCCCAATGAACCTGTGAACATCAAAAAACTAGAAGGTGGTGTATTTGTACTGATCCAGGCAGTGACTAAACTCTGAATTCTCACTTCTCCTTCTGTTCCCCTCACCCAGCAGGCAGGGCCCTGAAGGTAGAAAGTGACCTTGACACAGCCTCCGGGCCTGGGTTTCCTTGTTTGGGAAGTTAAGGGAGTTTCCAGGGGCCACGTCAAAGCTCTTTCCCAGGGTCGACCTTCTAGGACTTGGCGAGTGGGACAAAACAAGCAACAGAGGGTCCTGGTGGAGCTCCCCCGCCTGCCACCCTGCTCTGCAGCACCTCCCCGCTAGACTCCCTCCAGCACCTACTCAGGGAGAGTGTACCTGTCAGTCCCACCTTCCCTCTAACCTCGGAGACACGGTTATCTTCCCAATTAAAGGTCAGGAAGTGGACCACAGAGGTGTGAAGTCACCTCATCCTCTGTTAAGCCACAGCTTAGTCCTGTCATAGCTCAAAACGTAGGTGGCAGCCAGGAAACCTGTCAGGCAGTGTTCCAGGGCGCAGGGAGCAAAGTGGTCTAGGTGCTTCACAACCAACATGCGTGCGCATAGATGCCGCGGACTCCCATCCGGATCAAAGAACCTGGCTGGGGTCAGCCAGCTGCGGAGCCTAGGATTGCCATGGTTTAGGAAGTACATTTTTAAATATCTTAATCTGGGTATGGAGGCATGCACCTAACGTCCCAGCTCCTCAGGAGCCTGAGGCAGGAGGATCACAAGTTTGAGGCCAGCCTGAGCAACAAGACCCAGTCTCAAAATAAAAATAAAAAATTAAAGAACTGGAAATATAGTTTAGTGGTAATGTGTCCCGGAGTTCAGTCTCCAGTTCCGCAAATAAACTAAGCTAAAATAAAATAAAATAAAAACTAAAAACCAAGCAAAAGTATTCTAGAAGATGACCAGCAGGACCAAAATTTGGCCTTAGAATCTACCAAGAGCCTGTGTGAGGGCTGGGGCTGGGGCTCAGGGGCAGAGCGCTCACCTAGCATGTGTGAGGCACTGGGTTCCTTTCTCAGCACCACATAAAAATAAATAAATAAAGTAAAGGCATCGTGTTCATCTATAACTAAAAATTTTAGAAAAGAGCCCGTGTGATCTTGAACATGTCACTTAGCTTTTTTTGCCTCTCATTTGAAATACAGACTCAAATACATTAATTTCCAGCCTGCTCCACTGCTATGCGTATCCTGGGGTAAGAACATTACTTAGGAAAAGGAAATGAAAGGAGACTACTAATGTTTCCCATGGTTACTGTAGGTGCATTTGACTGTTCTCTAGTATTTTCTTACTCTTCTCTGGCATTGCCTAATTTTTGACAATAAGCACATGCTACTTTTATAATAATAAAAATGATACATTGTTGCTTAAAAGAAGGTTTTATGTGCATGCCACTGTTCACTGTTTAGCCCCACCCACTTCCTCTCTGCCAATGTCTCCAATCCTGTCTCTAACCTGGAAAGGACCCAAAGGCTCATTAAGCGCCAGCCCTCATCTCACCACTGAGGACTGCCTGCCGGTCAATGCCAGCTGTACACCTTCTCTGACTTCCTCACCAAGGAAGAGCTAAAACCCAGCCAAAGAACTGGAAACGGAGGAAAGGTAACTCCTTGAATAAGCAGTGACATTTAAGACTTTAACAAAAAATGAGCTTTTCTCCTCCCCTCTACTCACGGAGTCTTCCTGGAAGCTTGCAGATTCCAGTCTCACCCAGCAGTTGCACTTGAGCTTCACATCTAGCTTGGACCTGGGTGCCTAAGGGGTGTGTGGCCGCTGCAGGACCTACAGGAGAATAGGCCAGTGTTCCTTCCTAGAGCAGGAGAAAACCAGAGCCGTCAAAGGAGGCTTAGCCATACTTGAATGTATTGAGAATTATTTTTGGAGAGAAAGAGTGTTTATCTCTGCCAATAGATTGTGTCCACCTTAAAGGTACCATCAACATCTTGTTCACAGCAGACACTGGATAAATTTCATCCTTCCAAGTCAAGTTTTCAACTCCCTGAAAAAGACTCCCTAGCACAATTTGACTTGTAACTGAAATCTGAAGGCCTAGAAATACTCTCTGGATTCTTAGTGAGATCACAACATGGAGACCAAGGGACCAGGATGAAAAGACCTTAACTCAGAAGTAAATAAACACTTTTTCAAAAAGGAAAAAGGAAAAAAAAAAAGAATAAGTTTCTGACCCAAAGGTCTCACAAAGGGAAGACTTTTTTTATTATTTAATTTTCTTTTTTTTAGCTGGAGCTGAAGATGGAACCCAGGGCCTCACACATGCTAGGCAAGCTCTCTACCACTGAGCCACAGCCACAGCCCTAAGGGAAGTCTTTATCCTAACAGTTTTACAGCCAGGATAGCCCTGGTGTGAGTTGGTTCATCCAGAAGGATGAGAGAAGAAACAAGTGGCCAGATGTGGTATTTGCAGAAGGATCCCTGGGGCTGCAGCCCAGCCACAACTGCCTCAGTCAGAAAAGGAAAAGTGAAACTAGGTCCTGAGAGTCCATTTCACTCTAGGATCTTCTAGAGTTTTATACCTATTGGTCTGAGGAAGGTAATCCGCGCCTAAGGAGTGCAGATCTGGAGCTAGCAGAGCAAACTCCACAAGCCTTGGCTCATGCAAAAGGGGATTTGACGTCTTTTGGATAGTTCCCATTTCGTTTCTGGAGGAGAAGGGCACCACCTGTCCCAGTTGGTGCTGTTTCCTAGATATCCAAGCCTCAGAAACTGAGAGGAAGCAGACTCAGGTGCCACAGCCTATAATCCCAGTGACTGGGGAGGCTGAGGCAGAAGGATCAAAAATTTGAGACCAACCTCAACAACTTAGGGAAACCCAGAGGACTTCTCAAAATAAAACATAAAAAGGGGGCTGGTGGGAGCTGGGGCTGTAGCTAGGCGGCAGAGCGCTTGCCTAACATGCCTAAGGCACTGGGTTTGATCCTCAGCACCATATAAAAATAAAAATAAATAAAATTAAGGCATTCTGTCCATCTACAACTACAAAAAAAAAAAAAAAATTTAAGGGGGAAGTGGGCTGGGATATGGCTTAGAGGTTATGGGAACTTGGGTCCAATCCTTGGTACCAAAAAAGAAAAAAGAAAAGAAACTGAGGGGCTGTGTGCTCCCTTGCTAGAGAAGGGGCTCAAGACAAGGACTTGTCCACTCCTCCACCCCACTGCAAGCAAGAGGAGTAGGCAATCCTGAGGCTGTAACTGTCTGGGAGATGCAGCCAGGGAGTCTACAGGGTGGAGACCCCCAGGTTTCTGCATGAAGGCCTGGGAGAGGGCTGATAAGTGGGCGTGGCTCTTGGAGAGAGGGAAGTGGAGAAAGGCCCTGGGGTAGGATGGGCCCCAGCTCTAAGGGAAGAAAATGGAGAGGGACTGCTGAGGAAAGGGGTCCCAGTGGGATTATGTTTGACAGCTGGGAGGACCTGACTTGTGGAGGAATTTCCATGGACTTCCCATCGGGTTAGTGTAGCAGAATGAGGAGGGAAGGAGACTTCGGAAAGGATCTGGGGGCTTGGGGATGCTGTGTGGGATGCCTTCGTACCGCACCGGGATTTGGGGGGGGGGGCGGGGTAGAGAGAGAGAGAGGCGGGACCTCGGGACCGTCGTGAGGAGCGTCTAGGGGTGGAGCAGAGGGACAGGGTTGGTGGTGAGGGTTAGGAATCTGTTGGAAAGTGAGACTCCAGGCAGTTAAAGGTCTAATAAAATGGAAATCGAGATGGGAGCGGGCAGGTGGATCCGTGTGCGCGGCCGGCTCCTCTGCCGGGCTCTTACCTGCATCCCAGGTGGAGGTGAGGGGCCACCGGCTTTCTGTCGCGAGCGCTCCCGGCTGGCGCTGCTGGGCCCTGGGCGGTGCTCCTTGCCCCTCTCCCCGAGGCCCCTCGCTGGGCGCTGAGAACTGAAAGGTCGCCTGGGGCGAAATCTGGCGAGAAGCGCCGGGGCGTGAACCCTGGGCCCCGAGAGCAGGCGCGCGAGGCGCTGGGGTAGGCGCTATCCTTCCGGGAAACGAAAACGAAAGAGCGGGATCCGGCTCCACTCCCGCCGCCCAGGGCTGGGGGAGGGCCGGGGCCCCGCGTGAGCCGAGCCGGGGGCGCGGGCCGCGCGCCGGCTGCCGGAGACGTCGCTCCTGCTGGCACCTCCTGTCACAGGCGCGGACAGGCCCTCCTGCGCTCTGGCCCTGATTCCCTGGGGGTCGGCCGTGGGATTCTGCAGGATGTGAAGAACCGGGGACACCGGGTCCCGAGACGTCGACGGAACAAAGCATGGGAAGGGGCCACCCATCGGGTCTTCCTAGAACAGCTGCCTCTCTCTTTAGGAGTGGAGTGACCTTCCCGCCCCCACCTGGTCTGGGCCTGCCTTTTGGCCCCAGGAAGCCAAAAGCTCGCGACCGCAGAGGCACCAAGGCCCTATACTCAGATGCCCCCAAGACACCTTTTCCCTGACTCTGGCTGCTGCAGGTGTGTCGCCCGCCCAGCCATCAGCGCGTCCTCTTGCCTCGGCTCCCCCTGCCTGGATGGGGAAGCTCAGGGAGACTGAGCCAAAGAAACGGAGGGAAAAGCCTTAATAACCCTTGTAGAAAATCAGAGCGCAGATGCTGTTATAAAGAAGGCGGAACATTGGTATATCATAAACTCAAGGCCAACGACCCATCAGAGAAACTAGCCAAGGACAAGAACAGACGGCCCAAGTAAAACCAAAGGCCAGATGGCCCCTGCATATAGAAAAAGATGCTCAGGCTCATTGTTAAAGATGTGCAGTTTGAGCCGGGGGCATGAAGCCCCTGCACCAAAAATCCCATCGATTCCAGGCAGGAATATCTCAAGTTTGAGGCCAGCCTCAGCAATTTACCTAGACCCTGCTTCAAAAAAGGGGAGGAGGGACTGAGGATGTAGCTCAATGGTAGAGCACCCCTGGGTTCAATCCCCAGTACTGGTTTAAAAAAAAAAAAGATGTGCAAATTAGAGTTGAGGAGGTAGCTCAGTGGTAGAGTGCTTGCCTAGCATATGGGAGGCCCTGCATTCCATTCCCAGCACTGGAAATATCCCTTAATATAATAAAAATTCAAAAATTGAATAATATAATCTGCTGAAGAGGGTGAAGGGAAGGTATTTCCATAGGGCGTGCAGTGGTGCAACCCTGGTGGTGGGCAGTGTGGCGGATCCTGCAGTTATAAATGCATTTGCCCTTGGCTCAGCAGTGCCAGCAACAACTGCATCTGCATGTATCCAAGACACACATGGTTACTTATCTCATCAGGGTTTATAGTTTTAGATGATTAGAAATAGCTCCAGTGTCCATAGGGGTCAACAGAATAGCTATGGTACATCCGTCTAACAGAATACTGTCCAGCATCTGATGAAGCTCTCTGAGGACAGAGCAAGCCCTTCAAGAGACAGCAGAGCACGGCAATTAAGAACTGGGACTCAGGAGACCAGACCTGGCAGCTGCTGCACTGACACAGACCCCCTGAGACTGCAGCTGGCACAGGGACAGCAACAATGACACTGAAGATGTTTCATTGTTTGACCCAGAAAAAGAGACAATAGACCAAGAAAATCCAAAATCAGGCATCCACTGGCATCATTTTTCCATTTGTTCTATCCATTTCCATTTGTTCTATGGGTGCCATTATAGCCTAAGTTCTCTATGAATTGCTCAGCAGCGGCTTCATTGCCTGTCTGATGAGAATTATCTTGTTGCTGCTATGTGAATTTGGGGTAGTGAAGAATGTCGCAGCTAGACTAATGGTTGGCCTCCTGTGGTGGAATCACATGGATGAGGATGGAAAGAGTCATTGAGTGTGTGAGTTCAGGAAGGCAACTCCTCTGGAGTATAAAACTGTCTCAGAGGCTGAATCAAGAGTGTCTTGTTTGGAACTGATTGCCGGTCCATCGCTGTGGTTGATATTTGCCCTTAGTGCTCTCTTCAGTGGTTGGCTGTGGTTATGGTGGGTGTGGTGCTACAAAGTGCCATTTTGTAACTGTATGGTTACAAAATGGTCAGCAGGAAGAACTTAACCAGCATAGCTATGTTGTACTCGAAAAGTGTCATTGGAGATGATCAGATTTCTTAAATAGAGAGCAAGCTTATGCATTTTGTGACATTGGGGAACAACCAAAGAGATTCTTACTTACTTTAGAACTGTTTGGAATCAGTCCATTGCAAAGAGGAATATCAGTTTTATTTTTTTCACTTAAAAACTTTGTTCAAGGGGCTGGGGCTATAGCTCAGTGGTAGAGTGCCTGCCTCACATGTGAGGCACTGGGTTCGATCCTCAGCACCACATAAAAATAAATAAATAAAAATATTGTGTCCATCTACAACTAAAAAATATATATTTTAAAAAACTTTGTTCAATAAAAGAAAAAATCTGTGCAAGGTGGCGCGTGCCTGTAATCCCGTGACCTGGGAAAGTGAGACAGAAGAATCACAAGTTTGAGGCCAGACTTAGCAAAGTGCCCTGTTTCAAATTTAAAAAAATGAAAATAAATATGTCGGGGGATGTAGCTCAGTGATAAAGTGCCCCTGGGTTCAATCCTCAGCAAGAAAGAAAAAGAAAAGTTTTCCTACTAAGTTTTTTATTTACTTTCTCTAACAGAGTTAGGAAATTTGGGTCATAGGAACATTGTCGGAATTTATTTTATGGTGTACATATCTACTTACAGTATGCATATATGCATATAGTAATGTCTCATTATATTCCGAATTAATATATTCATTTATATATGTTTCAGAGATCTTTGCATTTTGACCCATAGAACCTGGGAGGATGTTCTTAATCTATCTCAAAGTTTTATGTGTTTACATGCTATTTCTGTAGGTTATGTTCAGAAATAGGTTTTGATTCCATTGTAAGAGTGAACACTTAGTTTTTGTATGAGTTGGAAAACTGTTAATTTCTCATATATACTGTATGTTGAAATTGCTTACTTTAGACATGCACAAGTAAAAACCAAATTCAGGCCAGTCCTATTGACTAGTTTCTAAAATGTTGTGTTTATTTTTATACTGCAACAAGTCATTTACTTAAGGCCCAATTAAACATAAACTTTAGAGTTTCTGTTTGAGAGATACCCAGGGATTGCTGCTACTCTATTCATCGCATGGAAAGGATAGCCAGATTTTACTTTGGAACTTCTTGGAAACTCTTCAATGGTCTTTGGGCTAATAAGATCTTATCTTTTATTACTAAATGAGTATTATCCGTATGTCATAATAATAATCATTTAATACTTGGCATAATAAATGCCTAAAAGGCATTTTATGAATTTTTTCTTGCTATAATGGGGATACTGTAAATCATACATTTATGTTATTTTTATGGGAGAGGGGGGTACAGGAGATTGAACCTAGGGCATTAACCACTGAGCCACATCCCCAGTCCATTTTCTTACTGTTTTTTATTTAGAGACGGAGTCTCACTGAGTTGCTTAGTGCCTCGCTAAGTTGCTGAGGCTGGACATGAACTTTTGATCCTCCTGCCTCAGCCTCCCACACCGCTGGGATTATAGGCATGCACCACCTTGCCTGGCTTAATGTTATTTCTTTAAACAAGGTAATATATGTAACTGTAAACTAAATCAATCTACAAAATGTTGTAGGCATCTGTAAATTCTGTTGTAGTTTCTATAAACTTCATTGGAGTCTTTTAATCAGATTATGTTGTGAATATATTTATACACTGTTAAAATATTTTTAAAGGTGTTTAGTTGAATAAATATCTTTGTTGGAGTGATAGCTTGGAAGGTGCACAATTTCACATTTGTAAAAACTCTATTGTCTACAAAACAAACAAACAAACATAACTGGACTCAGGACAGCCTGCCTGGCTTGGGATCCCAGCCCCATCACTTACTGGCTCTGGGCCCTTGAGCAAGTTAGTTAAACTCTTTACTGCCTCTACTAAATGCTGCCTCTGCTTCCTTAACAGTAAGAGAACTAATAACGATACCTATCTCATAAGGTTATTGTGCAGAGTAAATGAGTTAACATTTGCAAAACACCTGGGAAAGTGTCTGACCACCACGTTAAACAGAAATTCTAGATACAGACTGATGTGTCTTACATGCCACTGTGTGTGTGTGTGTGTGTGCGCGCGCGAGCGCACACACGCATGGGTCTTGGCCTTCCATATCCAACATCCTCAGATCCAACTAACTTGGAATCAAAAATATTTGGAAAAAAAGTTACTTCTGTACTGAACACGTACTGACTTTTTTCTTGTCATTATTCCCTAAACAATATAGTATAACAACCATTTACGTAGCAGTGACATTGTATGAGGTATTGTAAGCAACCTGAGGATGATTTAAAGTATACAGGGAAATGTATGTCAATTATATGTAAATACTACACCGTTTTATGGGAGATAAGCATCCATGGATTCTGGTATCCATGGGGTTTCCTGGAACCAATTCCCCTTAGATCCTGGGAGATGACTAATACATGTATTTACAATTTGTACAGAGAAACTCTCAAGGGATACATAACAAACGTATTTGGAATTCAGGGTAGAAAATAAATGCAAGAGATTTCACCATAACCTTTTACATTGTTTTGATTTTTTTCACCACATGAATAAATGACTATTCAGAAGAAAAAAAATGAAAAGGAAGTTGCAGGGTCTCTTCCATGTCAGGCAGCCATAACATGGCTGGTGGAAATAAAGGAGCATCGCCTGAGACAGACTAAAACCTGTGACATTTCCCTTTAATAGGACAACGCAATGCTAGAAATACACAAGGTGGGCACAACTACGAGGCACCAGGAGCAGGAATGAGGAGACTCCCTCCTTCACCAGGAAACATGCACAAGTGTCTCATGGCCAATAAAATAACAATATTTATTTCATTTTAAAGTTATTTTTTAAATAACATCTTTCCTATGAAGAACTCAAGATACATCTGTAAAACTTCAAATTTATAACAAACTCTGTGAATACTTGTAATTTATAAACAGGGCTAGATGAGGCAGATAAGAAGGCAAGAGGGGAACAGGGAAGGGGAAAGGCCCAAGAGAATGAGCTGGCAGAGGGCCTGTCCACCAGTCACAGAGAAACACTCAGCAGGGGACAGCAGGCCCAGGTTACTGCCTGGTGGTGAATTCATAACTCCCGTCTTGACCCTGGGACTGCTGGCCCAAGACTGACACTGTAAGTAAGCAGGCCAGCCCGAAGGAGGCTGGGGGGACAGTGAGCGCCGCCTGCAGGCAGCGTCAAGAGGTGGTAGAGAGGGGTCAGGGAAGAAGGGGTCACAGAGGAGGAGGGAGGGAGGGATGAATGTGAGATAAGAACCTCAGTGTGGTAGAAGCCACACCGGAAACACCCAGCAGCAGTGGCGACAGGAGTGGGGGGTTCCAGGCACGGAAATGGGAATGAAGGTCTGTGTTGGATTTGAGTGTTAGAACCGGAAGCTTCCTTCAGACTTCCCAGAGTGGAGGAGCCAGGATGGAGGGGCGCTGGGCAATGTGCTGAGAAGCTGGCACTGCAGATCTGGACTTAGGGAACAAGAGTGGGGCCAAAGGTCAGGAAGGGCATGCTGCCCAGGGAGAAGCCCAGGAGGGAGTGTCCGTCTCTGCGACCTCTGTTCTGAGGACAAGGTTCTATTTCATTCACGGAAGGAAATGATCAAGGTTTCCATGCAGGGAGCATTGGGACCATCCACAGGGTTGGCATTTTCTGGGCTCCTGATTCCTCCTCAGGCTTCACCACGATGCAGTTGCAGACATGGCACAGCTGGTTGCTTGGACAAAAGCCCAGTGGGTTTGCAGTTCTCCAAAAACCCACATAGACCAACAGTGATGAGTAAAAAGAGAAGGAGGGGGAGGAGGGTCTTCTTCCCATCTGTCTCCAGGATTCACAGTTCTCAGAAGGTAGAGGGAAAACACAACTTGACGTTTACATTCCTTTTACAGCAAACGGTTGTTCCAGAAAGAGCGCAGCAAAACCTGAATTCTTCTGAAGACAGATAAAGTAAAATGAACCAGTGCATCTCTGACTTCCTGTTGAGGATCCTGTTTAAAAAAAGTGAGAGGGAGGAATTAAAAAAAAAAAAAAGCAATAGAAATAATCCAAATCTAGACACTTAGCATGCTAGGAACTAGTCATTCGATCCATGTGGCAAGCAAGCAGTTTCTGAACCGAGGGAGCTGAGGGTAGGTCACCAGGCCTCTGTTGTTTGCTTCATCCTTTTTGCTGGGGAGCTGGGAGAATGGGCAGGATGTGGGCTGGGGAAGAGGTTAGATGAATCCAAGCCAAGCTGGAGGTGGCAGGGAGTTCACCAGCTTCGTTGAGCAATAGGCAGAGGTCCCTGTTTATGTGGGAACATCGAAAAGGAGGCTGAGCATCAGGCACGCTGCCCCTGTCCCTGCCCCCACTGCAGTGCTGCAGTCTCTTCTCAGCAGCACAGCCTCCCTGGGTGGTTCACCTGGGCTCCTCTGCTCAGTGATCTCAGATGGCTCCACCTCACTCAGAAGGAAAGTCAGGACGACTTCATAATCCTGGCCTTGGGCCCACTGTCCACCTATCTGACCACGTTTTACTACCTTCTTCTCTACTCAACCTCAGCCACACTGGCCTCCTTGCAAGGCCAGACACACTCTGGCTCAGAGTCTTTGCTGTCCACAGTCTCCACGGCTCCCTGCTTGTGTCCCCCTTTCATGCCTCTGAAGGTTTTACCCAAAGTCACCTCCTCAGCGAGGTCTTCCCCCAATGCCCAGGCTTACAACTGCAGACCTTCACTCTTCCCTTTGCTAGAATTATTTTTCTCTTAAGCATGTATCACTAACTGATAAACTATATCCTTTATTGTTCGTCTCACTTTACAAACTCCATGAGGTCAGGGAGCTCTGTCTTTGCCTCACTTCCACATTTAAAACAGCCGGGCACATAGCACATGCTCAGCAAATATTAGCTGAATAATAAATCAATGAACAATAGACCATTAGCAGTAAGGTGAGGAATTTAGACTATCCTATAAGAATTATAAATCATTAAAGGATTTTTTTATGTTAACATCAGTTAGGAAAACTAAATGCATTTCCTTCCAGAATGACAGATGAGAAAAAAAAATACAGAACACCAAGTCAGATGCTCATATATTTAAATCCCAATTTTGCCACTTAGAAGCTAAATGACCTTAGATGATTCACAATCTCTTTGAAACTCAACCACTTCTCCTGAAATACTTATGATGGCAATTTGTAGGGCTACTGAGAGAATTCAGTAAAACATGTAAAAGTGTCTCCAAGAGTACCTGGGAGAAATGTTAGTTTCTCTTCCTCTTTCTAAAAAACTAAGAAATTCCCTATCATTACTGTATCACTCAGGGTTCCAGAGAAAATAAAATAACACCTGAATTAGGCTAATTTGAGAAAGGTTAAATAAAGAGACTGGGCTGGGGATAGCAGAGCTGCCACCATTCCTGGGCCCTAGCAGGAAAAAAGCAACAGTTTCCAGAACCCAGAAGAGAGTCCTGTGGCGTAAAATTGCAGATCCTAAAAGCAATGAGAAGTTTAAAGTATGTTATTTTAACACACCTTATATCTAGGGAAATTACATGACCCAGATTTAAAAACATAAGACTAACAACAGAAACCAACCAAGCAAGGTATCTGAACAAAAATCCCAAATAACTAACAGTAAAATAGAGGCAATTTTGAGAAACACAGATTACTTCTGAAAACACGTAACACTAATTTAAGTGGAAAGACCCAGAAAGCAAGAACCGTGGAAGGTCAAGAACAATCAATTTAGCAGACAATGATGAAATCTGGCGAGTTCCTTGCTCGATAGTTTCAGGAGAATGAACAACAGTTTCTTTAAATATACCAGCAGCAGGAAGGCAGTCAGAGAATCAATGTGACCACTTGATTATATACAGCACAAAAGGTAAATAAATGATGACATCTATGAAAGAAAGGAACTGGGCCAGATTTGAAATTCTATTAAAGTTGTCTGACCTAAGCTTTGAAGCAGCAGAGGCTTTAGCATTTTAAAACCAGTCTGAGGAGAAATGTTTTAAATGACTACATTTAGAATACCTGCTGTGACTTAAAGGTATCCTAAAATGCAATTTTGTAGTGGAGGGCAAGGTGACTTTAAAGGTCCAGGTCAAAGCCAGATGCAAGAAAAGCTTGAGGAAATGTAAAGATAGGATAGAATGGAATAGGATTGAGAGTCCAGAAATACCGCATCACATTTGCAGTCAATTGATTTTCAACAAGGACAATCAATAGGGTATAAAACTGGTCTTTCAACAAATGGAGCCAGGACAGCTGCAAACCTACGTGCAAAAAAAAAAAAAAAAAAAATTGAAGATGAACTTCTAACTCAAACTGTTTATAAAAATGAACTCCAAGTGGATCAAAGACCTAAATTTAACTAAAATTACAAAGCTCTCAGAAGAAAAGTGTAAATCTTCATGCCTTCGACTAGGTCATTGTTTCTTAGCAATCATATGAAAAACACCCGAACCTAAAGAAAAAACAGAAAAAGTGAATTTCATTAAAAACTATACTTCAAAAAACACCATCAGAAAATGAAAGGAGCCGGGCACGGTGGCATAGGCCTATAATCCCAGCGACTTGGGAGGCTGAGGCAGGAGAATCTGAGTTTAGAGCCAGCCTCAATAACTTAGCAACATGCTAAGCAACTCAGTGAAACTATACCTCTAATAAAATACAAAATAGGGCTGGGGATGTGGCTCAGTGGTTCAGTGTCCCTGAGTTCAATCTCTGGCACCAAAAAAAAAAAAAAAAAAAAGGACTAGGGATGCAGCTCATTAGTAAAGCAACCCTGGGTTCAATTCCCAGCATCAAAAATTTAAAAACCTACAATGACATAATAGACAGCTAATAACACATGTTTTAAAGGGTGAGGAAAAACTAGGACCTCATAAACTACAGATGGGCCACAAAGTAAAATGGTGAGCCCAGGTCCTTTCACACACTAGGAAAACACTCTACCACAAGTTACATCCATCCCTAGCCAGGTGAAGCCACTTTGGAAAAAAATCTGAAAGTTCCCCAAAAGTAAAACAGTGGACATATGAGCCAGCACTTCCAATTTTAGGTATGTACCCCCAAAATAACCACATCTACCCAAAGCTTTTTTTTTTTTTTTACAAATTTGATAGCATCATTATTCATAATAGCCAAAAAGAAACAACCCAAATGTCCATCAACTAGTAAACAGATAAACAATGGAATACTATCCAGCAATAACCAGTAGACACATTGATTCATGCTACAACATAGATGAACCTCAAAAGAAAACAGAATAACCCAAGAAAGAAGTCTAAGGCAAAAAGCTCCACTTTGCGTTATTCCTCTATATGAAATATCCAACACAAGTAAAACCATAAAGACAGAAAGTAGGTTGGAAAGACCAGCAGGAAAACTGAGGGAAAAAAGTGACTACTTGGGCTTGGATTTCCATTTTAGGGTGATGAAAATTTTCTAAAATTGATGGCACTGATGATTATACAGTTGGGTGAACATACTAAAAATCAGTTAATTGTACACTTTGAATGGGTGAACTGGGTGGTAGGTGAATTATTCTCAATAAAGCTGATAATTAAAGAAAGAGAAGCGACAGGGTGTCAGTGTCACTTTAATGAGCTGAAGGGGCTAAGTTGAAGACTCCTAAGAAAATGCAACTCAAAAGGGAAAGGAGAGGGGAAAATGGGAACCGGTTACACGGAGCAGTAACCTCTGGACTGGGCAGAGGCAAACAGGAAGAGGATGGTTGTGACTTATCCCACTGTATTTCTTTCCTCCGAAAACAAAAACATAAAGAACAACGAGTCCTCAGAGTTAGCCAAACATGAAGTACACAAGTTGAGCTGAAGTTCATAAAGTACAGTTGTCAAGAAAACTCTCCTGCAGAAGAAACTGTAGCAAAGGACAGAGAGGGAGATGATAAACACCGGGAATAGGTCTAATAAAAGATACAAAAGTACAGAAGTATTCAGCCTCAAATACAGAAAGGGCAAAAGCAAACAAAAATTATTCTTATTTAGATAGATAACTTGTGTGTGTGTGTGTGTGTGTGTGTACCAGGAATTGGATGCAAGGGTGCTTAACCACTGAGCCATATCTCCTGCCCTTTTTATTTGTTATTTTGAGACAGGGTCTCCCTAAGTTGCTTAGGGCCTTGCTAAATTGCTGAGGCTGGCCTCAGACTTTTGATCCTCCTGCCTCAGCCTCCTGAGTCTAGGATTACAGGCATATACCACTAACTTTAGATAGCTAACTTTTTTAAAAATATATTTTTAGTTGTAGATGGGCACAATATTTTTATTTTATTTATTTTTATATGGTGCTGAGGATGGAACCCTGTGCCCCACACATAAAAGGCAAGCGCTCTACCACTGAGCTACAACCCTAGCCCTGTGAGTCGGTCTCTAAGAGAATTACATAAATTTATCTCATTTAAACTTTCACAACAACTCTATAAGGTAAGTACCATCATAATCACCATATTACAGATGAGAACCAGGAAAGTTAAGTAACTTGCCCAAGGTCACACAGTAAGTATGAGCCAGGTTTGAATCCAGTATTTCAGCTCTAAAAGCAGCACATTTAACCCTTTACACCATAGTTGGATATTCACTGAGTGGTGAGTCCATATGTAAATATCTCTTGTATACATGTTAATCTGCCCTGGTATTCTGATAAGGTTGTCCACTGAAGTTGAAGGGTGTGGCTTTCAGGTTAGGACCTCTGAAAGGGGTCCTTTGCAGAAAATGTACAGAGGCAGGGAGGTATTCCCACCTCTCTCTGGGCCTCATTCTCTTGGGTCCTGATATCAGATCAGATGGCGAGAGGTGGCTCTTGAGAGACAGTGGTCACCAAGCAGCAGCCTGTATGGTAGAGTGTGTATGGGTTTGGGAGCAAGTCAATGTGGCTTTGAGTCCTAAATCAGCAACTCGCCCTCTGTGTAATTTCTCTAAGCTTCCTTAATTGAAAAGCAGAAATAATTATAGTACCAATGCCATTGCTAGTTGAAAGAGTTTAAAAAATAAGGCAGGTAAACACTTAACACAGACCCTGGCAAATAGCAAGCATTATTTTTACATAGATTCAGTTTTTCTTCCAACTGGAGCTAGTCTGGGAGATAGGACTTGAAAGAGGCTAAAAAGCCCACAGAGAAAGCAACACGTATAATCCAAATTCTAATCTCAAGTCTCAATATCCCTGGTTCTTATAACTCCTACACAATTTCACAGCTTCTCAATTTATATTTCTAATAGTAATTTATTTTTTTTCCTAGTACTGGGAAATGAGCCCAGGAACACTCTACTATTGAGCTACATTCCTACCCTCTTTTATTTTATTTTATTTATTTTAGGATAGGGTTTCACTAAGTTGCTGAAGCTGGCCTCAACCTTGAGATCCTCCTGCTTCAGCCTCCCAAGTGTCTGGGATTACAGGTATGTGCCACCACACCCAGCTATTGTTAATAGAAATTTCAGGCTTATATGTCTCAAACAGAGCTCTTCTATTTTCCTTAATCTGTCCTTCCCAGTTCTCCCCATCCAGTAAACAGTACCACCATCCATTCAGACACCCAGGCCCAAAACACTGAAGTCATCCATGACTCTTTCTCCCTCACTACCCATATCCAATACATCAGCTGATCCTGCGGGCTCTTCATCTCCATTTTAATCTGACGATGAGTCTGATCATCCCTCACCACCTCCACTGCCACACACTGCTGTCTTTGGAGGTTCCTCTGGAACCCCTCTTGCCCTATAAACAGCCTGTTCTCAGCATGGCAACTGGACTCCACTCTAAATGTGCTCTCCCTCTCCAGAACTTTCCTTCACACTTAGTGTAAAACCCGAGCACATAATCTCCACCTCTGAAACTGAGGCCAACTCCCACCCCTCAGCTCACTCTCCCCACAGGGGCTTTGCCCTCACTCTTCCTCTGCCTGAAACACTTTTCCACAAGTGTGCCTGTGGCTTGCTCCCTCACCTCCAATCTCTGCTCACCTATCACCTCCCCAGGGAGGCCCCCCTAGTGGCCCATCCAAAGCCACTCTCCATCCTTCCGTCTCTCCTCCTCCTGCTTTGATCCCACATCCCTGTCTGGCAGGCCTGTCCCTGTTCATCTGCTTCACGGCCTCGCCCCTGCATTTTCAGTGCTGTGAGCTTGGATTCATCTCTGTCCTGCATGCTGCACTAGCTACCAATGCCTAGAATTGAGCCTGGCATAGAATGTACTCAGTGACTTTTGTTTGCATGAAATGAGTTTATCAAATATTTCATTTGATTGTGTTTGTTCGTTTCCTTCTTGCTTCTATAGCATTATTATTAGGGCCTCCCCTTCATGGTCTGTCTCAGGGGGTGTCTGAGGAAAAGGCTGTGTACTCTCCACTTTTGGACCAGAATACAGCACTCCCTGAAGACCCTGCAGCGGCAGCTAGAGTGATTAACAAGAAATTACCATAGCACAGGTGAATGTAGGGGCAAGACTACAGGCTCTGAGGGGCAGGCACCCCTACTGTCACAGAGCCCCATGTGACCGCTATCTGCTGCCAAATACAGGTTGTTGGGGAGGCAGACTAAACAAGGTGTGAGTTTCATCATCCCCAAGATTCTGAATAGCAATCATTTCCCATGTCCTCTTCTGATCTTATCATAATCAGAAGAAACTAAGATGGCGGTGGGCTCACATCACACCTAGGGCTGGTTCAAACAGGATAACCTTATGCTAAAGCACAGGTTCTCCCCCCACCCCCCCACCCCCGCCTGTGCATTAAACTCACCTGGCTAGCTTTTAAAATACTGGATGCTCAGGCCTCACCCTCAGTTAAGTCAGAATTTCTAAGGGTTGAGCCCAAGCATTTGTACTTCCCAAAATTCCACAGGTATTCTAATATGCATGCTACTTGAAGGGTGTGGAGCAGTTTCTCAAATTTTAATGTGCAAACAAATCCCCCCTGCCACAGGAATGTGTAAAAGGTAGATTCTGATCTGCGGTGATGTGGGCAGGAGCCTGACATTTTGCACATCTAACCAGTTGCCAAGGGATGCTGATGCTGCCCGTCCAGTGGCCACCAGCCACCGCTGGAGTAGCAACTGTGAGATCAAATGCTGACTTTGACTCAGGCTCACCATGTACAGGTCTAATGTTTGGTGATCTAGATATTATGAATCTAAGTCCCGATTATTCCTGGGATCTCAGCCCGTGGCAGCCAGTGCTGTTGCTTTTCCTACCTGGCAGGATCTTACTGGGGAAACCGAAGTCTTACCTCTTGAGCCTCCCTATAATCCATGCTATCTGCAATGTATCTCAGCTGCATGACCAAGTTCTGGATCATTTCCTCCTGGTGATGATTCTGGACAAGGCTATTCTCCTTGGACTGAGAAAGTGGAGGATGACCTGCATTGACAGAAAGAGTTCAAAAGAGATAATTCCACTTTCTCTGTAAAACCATTTACTACTAGTTACTAAAAACTGTCTCAGACAACGAGAATGATGAAATCCAACCATTATAATTATCAAAAGCAAAGCCTTGCATTGGAATAGATTGGCCCTATCCAATGGAAATATAATTCAAGCTTTTTTTTTTTTTTTTTTTTTGCAGTGCTTACAATTGAACCCAAGACCTGGGTTCACCAAGCACTCTATTAGTATTACTGAGCTATACTCCCAGGCCTACATAAGTAATTTTAAATTTTCCAGTAGTAAAATTAATTTTTTTTATAACTTTATTTAATTTATGTGGTGCTGAGCATCAAACCCAGTGCCTCACATGTGCTAAGCAAGGACAAAGTTTCTGTCCTCTAGTTGCTCACAACCCACAGGTTAGGGATGATACGATTCCCAAGAAAAAAAAGGGAATGAATTTGGACTGAAGTAGATGTAAGTATGACTTTGTAGATAAAGCCAATTTTATGTTGGACCTGTTTTATTTCAATGAAACATGAGGATCTTTAATTTTGCAGGTTTGACTCTAAGATCCAGTGGGAGAGAGAGAAACACTACCACCTAAGATGTTATAATAACAAGATTGGCACAGAGTCAGGGAAATGTCCCAGGAAGATGATCATCTGTTGAATCTTGAAGGATAACAGATGACTAATAGTCATAAATGATTCAATAGCCTGGAGAAGAAAAGATAGATGCGGTTGGGTCCCAGCTAGGCAGGGGCTGCAGGCAGGGAGGACAGGGTCTTAATGCATGAATTCGCCTCAGCCAAAACCCCTAACAGGTAGCTTATATAACAGGTGAAATATATGAACTTTTGATCAAAATTGCAACCCTACTCCCAATTATTTCTGTTTTCTATTGTTATTTTCAAAAGTACCTTGAAGCACTTGCATATTAATGAGATTCTCACCTCAGGCCATTTTGAAATAACACCCTAATGATCAGTTGACACTTGCAAAGACTACTTGACAATCTCCTTAGAAAAAGTGAGGACATCTTTGAGGGCTGAGAAATGAGAAGATGCCCAAAGAGAATAAAGGGGAACCAAATGGGGAGACTCTTCCAAACAATTGCTCCTATTTCAAAACAATTGGCCTGCCTGAGCCAATCAAAAGCATATTAATTTACAATTATTTGTTTAATAAATGAACTGTCACCTGGGAAATACAAAATCTAATGTCTACATTAGGAAAATGAAATACAAGTTGGATAAATTTCAAAGGGACACTAGAGAAATGAGGAAACCCACAAGCTTTAGGTAGCTCAGTGACCAGGGGAGTTAGGTAGACAAAGGGGCAGAGAGGAAGGACAGGGCACAACAGAGGGGTGAGTGCTAAAAGTGAGGTATATTTGCATTCCAGAATGATTACAGAATGATTTGCATTCCAACATGATTACTCATATTTTGTGCATATCTAATTGACTAAATGGCAAAACTCTGAAGGACATGGATCTATTTCACAGCTTGATGACCCAGCTCTGTGTCCTATACACAGAAGGTACTCAACAGATAATTGTCGATTAAATTTGGGTTGAATGATAACCGTGGACCTCCCTTCACCAACCCATCCCTCAACTACTGGTTACTAAGTTTACCTAAAGACAGCCCTACCTTTTAGTTAGTATTGAAGTCAGCTCTTTCATTTAAGGTTATGAAACAGCAAGAATAATGCACATCCGTATATTTTAAGCTTTTGGTATAGAAACTTATCAGAAGCCTGGAGATACACTCACAATTGCTGGTGTGAGCATTCACTGGTACAACTTCCGTGGGAGGAAGCTGGACCTCTTCGAACTTATGATGTCATATTTAACATTTATATGTGTAATTGGCTACCATCTGACCCCTTAACCAGACCATGCTCCATGAGGAAAGGAGTTATTGCTGTTTTTGTTAACCATTAGTGCCCCAGTAGCTAGCTAGTGACTGAAATATAGTAGGTCCTAGTATTTTCTTTTTGGAACTGAAGATTGAACCCAGGGACATTCTACCACTTAACTACTCCCCAGCCCTTTTTATTTTTAAATTTTGAGATAGGGTCTGGCTAAGTTGCTTGGGGTCTAAGTTGCTGCCCCTGGCTTGAACTAAGATCCTCCTGCCTCAGCCTCCCAAAATGCTGGGGATTAAGGCATGGGTCACTGTACCTGGCAGTGTTTTCTAAATGAACAACAAAAATGTATACCTTGGAGGTACACCTAGGAGCAAACCAAAAAAAAAAAAAAGGTGAAAGGAAATATCCAAGCACCCTCAAAAGAAGTTGAACAACTGAACTCTATATCTATATATCTCATTTAAACAATACATAGACATTTATGTATTTTGCTCTTTCCTCTCAGTAATTCCTTTTTTTTTTTTTTTTTTTGGCGTGGTTTTGGGGGTTGAACCCAAGGGCGATGTACCACTGAGCTAAATTCCAGCCTCTTTCTAATTTTGACACAGAATCTCGCTAAATTGCAGAGATCGGCCTCAAATTTGTGATCTTCCTGCCTCTGCCTCCCAAGTCACTGGAATCCCAGGTGCATGCCACCACGCGAAGTTTTAATTATGGTATTTTTGCCCTTTGTCAAGACAATCACTGCATCCCCTCTTCCCCCAGCGATGGTGGGCGGGCCCTCCTCTTGCTTTTACTCATCTTTGTTCCCTCCAAGAGTTTCTAAATCAGCTTACATGCTGTATCAGGACGGTCACTCTGGATTTCCCACAACCTACCCATCCCGCAACTCTTTCAAGAAAAAGCGGCTTTAAATTCCCCCATACAAAAACCATGCCTTTTTTTCTAGTTACGTTTATATGAGTAGATTCCCCACAAAGTAACAGATAAATCTTGGCTTCACCAAGCCCCTTGCCAGTCAATGAATGGATTTCCATTTCAGTCTGTGTCACAGTTCCGACAAAAGCCACCAAGAAGACAAGGGGACCTCCTCAAGTCATCGGCTTTCCCAGTAAGAGTTTTTCTCTGAGCAGTATTTAAGGATTTTTTTTTTTTTTTTTTAAGGGACCTCTATCGACCTCCACCACCCAGACGAGGTCCGCCCTGCGCCATGCAAACTTCCAATCCAAGCAGTTCGATGGCGGGAAAAGCGCGCGCTGGGCGGGAGAGTTGGGCTGGCTGTAGCCAATAGGAAGTGCACACGGGCGCAGCCTCCGAGGACGATCTCCTTAGCCGCTCGGGGCGCATGCGCCGCTCGCCCCGCCCGCCCGCCTAGTTACGCAGCCTTACGCGCCTCGGCCTTTGGAATCTCCTAAAGGCACCTTTGCACGCACCTCTGATCTCAGTCATCGTAGGCCCGTTTCTTAAGCGGCATCATAAACTAACGGTTATGAAGACAAACTGTGTTTCCTGGGCCAGGAAAAGTGTGGGAAGGAAGTGGGGGGCGACTCTTCCTTGCAGGACCCCTTGCTTTTCATTGTTTGGCGGCGTGGGGTGCTCACTAGTGGGCCGCCGCGCCCAAATAACCAGGTACCAGGGGGGTTTCACCTATACAGTGAATGCAGAAAGATGCGGAGTTCTCGGCATGCAAATAAACACGAACGTTAGGACCTCGGCTGTTATGGATAAATCAAGGGGAGTAGGATCAGGAACGTGGCACCCTGCTTTTGCTTTTGAAGTGAACCCGTAATTAAGAAAGCATTTTAGGTAAATGTGGCAAGGCCTCGGGGCAAGATGCCTTCGGAGATGGAAGACAGCCTTCAGTACTGAGGATTCTGCGGAGTAGCGAGTGGGAAAACGTATTGGAAGGGGTTAGAAGAGTGGGGACGATTGCTTAACTTCTGAGCATTAGAGAAGCCACTATTGCGTCTCAAAACGGTGAACTTTGTGGTCTAGGATTAAAAAAAACAGCAAGGGCTGGGGCTGTAGCTCAGTGGTAGAGCGCTTGCCTCCCATGCGTGAGGCACTGGGTTTGATCCCCAGCATCATAAATAAAGATATGTGTCCATCTACAACTAAAGAAATTTTAAAAATAAATAAATAAAAAGAAGAAGAAGTATAGGGACTGGGGCTGGGCTCAGTGGTAGAGCGCTTGCCTAGCATGTGTGAGGCACTGGGTTCCATTCTCAGCACTGCATGTAAATAAATGAATGAAATAAAGGTTCATCAACATCTAAAAAAATATTTAAAAAGTATAAATTCTAGAAGTTATTCATTAGGTGACAAAAATATCACATTCTGAGAAATCACTGACGCAGAGATAAAATTTAAAATTTTAGTCAACAAGGTTTTTGTTTGGGTACTAGGATTGAACTCAGGGGCACTTGACCACTGGGCCACATCCCCAGCCCTATTTTGTATTTTATTTAGAGATAGGGTCTCACTGAGTTGCTTAGCACCTTGCTTTCGCTGAGGCTGGCTCTGAACTCCCAATCCTCCTGTCTCAGCCTCCCACGCCCCTGAGATTACATGTGGCGCTACCATGCCGGGCCCAGTTGGTTCTAGAAAATAGGTACCACATTTGGTGTGGTGGCAAACAACTATTAAAATGCCTTTGAAATTCCACTTTTTCTGGGCTGGGAGAATGGTTTCAGTGGTACAGTACTACACTAGCAGGTGCAAGGCCCAGGGTTTAATCCCAGGACTACACATTACTTATAATAAACATGGAACAGAAAAAAAAAATTTTCCAATTTCAGTATCTCAGCGGCATGTAATCTGTTTTCAACTGAAATTAATGTTAGTAAATCCTTACAGGTATCTAGCATATTTTTTCACCTAAAAGCATAAGACCCAATACATTTAATTCCAACACTCTCCCTTAATGCTCAAAACAAGGCTTTAGCTGGTCCCGGTGGTGCATGCCGGTGATGCCAGTTACTCAGGAGGCTGAAGCAAGAGTTTGAGCCAGTCTTGGCAATTTAGCAAGCCCCAGTCTCAAAATAAAAAATACAAAGGCCTGGGGATGTACCCCAGTGGTAAAGTGCCCCCAGGTACCATCCCCACTACCAAATCAAACACAGAAGGCTGTAGTTTGCCAGCATTCCCAGACATTTAGGAATCACATGTTTCTGCAAAACAAAATTGCCAATTTATCTTTCCTTATATTGGTAAAATCCAGACGGAACCTAATCTGAATGATCCCTACCTTGACAATACAAATATTGTCAGGTCAAATTTAAAGACAAGTTTTTGTTAAAAGATAACTTTGATCTACTTTGATTATTTAGGATCATCTTAATTAATTGTCCCATCAATGATTCAGGGCTAAAAGAAAGAAACTTGGTACCATGAAATAAGTCAGTTTTAGATTTTTGCCACCTAAGACCTTGGATGAACAGATTTGCCACTGTCTTCTTACAGTTAATTTTCAAATAATATACTTAATGCCCAATTTTATGTCCTCAATACCAAGAAAAAATATATTAAGAGGGAATATTATAATAATTTAATACTAATATCTTACCTGGGTTCCTTGACATGGCTGAACCGTCCGGGGAGCTGACAAGTTGAGTCATGTATGCCCTGGGATAACTATATTTTTCCCACAATGATTTGTAACAATTTGTTACTTTGAGAGCGGCGGGTTTCAGAATTTCTTTAGGTTCATAAACAAGGCCCTCGTGACTTTTCTTCTTCATGTTTTTTCTCTGTTGAAAAATATATTTGGGGTTGGGGCTGTAGTTCAATGCCTAGCACGTGTGAGGCACGGGGTTTGATCCTTAGCACCACATAAAATAAATAAATAAAATAAAGATACTATGTCCATCTACAACTACAAAAATATATTTAAAGAAAAGAAAAACATATTTTCAGAGAATGTCTCCAATTTCCCTTTAAATATTTGGTATGTTATATGAACAGTGATGCTTTAACAGCACAAACTGCTTTAATTCCACAAATAAATATTTGGGGGTTTGAGTGAGAAGTGAAATAGGGTGATCTCTAGGTCTTTTTCAATTTAATTAAACATCTTTCTTAAGTTTCTTTAGATCTTCTTTACCTTCCCATCACACCCCGCCCCCCATTCTAATCTCCCATTAGTTTTTCTTTTCAATAGCCACATTCTATTAGGGGAGGAGTTTTAAATTGGTACAGAAAAAGAAAATTAGGTTAGGGTAGCCAAAAAAAAAAAAAAATCAAAACACAGAGAGGTAGGGAGGAGGGGAGATGGTAATACATTGTTCTATTTCTTTTGTTGTTGGTACTGGTGATTGAACCCAGAGGCCCTCTGTCACTGAGACATCCCCAAACCTTTTTTATTTTTATTTGAGACCAAGGCTTGCTAAACTGCCCAGGCTGACCTGGAATTTGCAATGTTCCTACCTCAGTCTCTGGAGTCACTGAGATTACAGGCATGCACCACCTCATCCTGAGGTGGGATAGAAGGAATAAGGATAGGTACAAAGGAGACGAACAGGGAATGGAAAAGAAACTCATTTTAAATGTGGAGAGTCCCATGAACATCTCATTTTTATTCTTCAAACCCATTTTCCTCCAGACACAAATTCTTAAAAATCTCTTGAATCTTAGAGTACTGTGAGTCTGCATGATAAATGTCTACTACATTCATTACTAGCTTATACAACATATTTTCTTTAGACTCAATAAAGCAAAGGGAAAATATTGTTAGAGACTGAAGATGTAGGTATATTTCAAACATTATTTATTGAGTGGATGACATCAACCTAGAGATTCTAAAGAGAACCACCACCCTGACCCACCCTGGGCTCCTGGAGTAAAAGAATTCAACTCACCAAGCTGAGGTCAACCCCCACGTGCTTCTCATCTTCGCTATTTACAATATTTGCTTTAAAAAGAAAAGACCCTGGGCTGGGGCTGGGGCTGGGGCTCAGTGGTAGCCCACTTGCCTGGCATGTGTGAGGCACTGGGTTCGATTCTCATCACCCCATATAAATAAATAAATAAAATAAAGGTCTATCAACAACTAAAAAATTAAAAAAAGGAAAAGCCCAAAACTACATCTCACCCTCAAGCACCCCACCCAATCAGCATTCCTTCTCCCTTTGAGTATGTACCCCGCTCTATTGTTTGCTTTCCTGAATAAACCCTGTTGCTCAACTAAATAAAGCTTTATTTGAGCTTCTTTTGATGCATCCTGAAATTCCCTTCTGTGGCATAAGTCAGGAATCTGCCAGGGATGACTTGAGGTCCCCTTCTCCATTCTGGGTGACTTCCTTGGACCTTCGTCTGGTGACAATCCAGTTATTTGTCCTGATTCTTCATGTGTATGAGTCCCTCTCCAGAACAATTCTTATATTCTTCTCTCCTTTTTCCTCTTTACAGGTACCATAAAGGCTCCCTCCTATGCCACTCACTTTACCTGATTTTATAGCACCAATTCAATGAGTTAAAAAAATTGAATTAAGACTTTCATTATCTTTCTTTCTTTATTTTCTTGATTTAAAGATTGTAAAGTGAAAGTACAACTTTCTATTGTACCTTCCAAATCTAACAGTTACTGAAAAAGGAAGGAATTAGTCACTATAATGAGTACCAAAAGAAGGTCATAGCAGGACACAGTGGCACATGCCCGTGACCCCAGCTACTCAGGAGGTTGAGGCAGGAGAATCACAAGTTTGAAGTCATCCTGGGCAGCTTAGCAAGACTCATCTCAGGATAAGAAATAAAAATGGCTGGGGATGTCACTCAGTAGTAGAGCACCCCTGGGTTCAATCCCCAGTACTGAAAAAAAAAATTTTTTTTTAAGGTAATAGAGGAGGCCTTCAGGAGCCTTAAAGCAGTGCTGTCTAATAAAAGTAAGTGTTCCAAATATGTAATTTTAAGATTTATAATAGATAAAAAAGTACAAAGAAACAAGTGAAATTAATGTTAATGACCTATATTATTTCACTTAGTACATCCCAAAATAAGTCTAAATGCTAGCATTTCAACATGTAATCAATATTTTTTAAACTTTTTAAAATATGCATTTTTAATAACTTTTTATTTTATTTATTTATTTTTATGTGGTGCTGAGGATCAAACCCAGGGCCTTGCACACGTGAGGCGAGCACTCTACCACGGAGCCATAACCCCAGCCCCTGTAATCAGTATTTTTAAATGAAATATCTTACATTCTCAATAAGCTAAGTCTTTGAAACCTGGTATGTATTTGGCACTTGAGGGAGATGTAGGAGGGCTTAGGCAGCCAGGGCAAGAGGGCAGTGAGGAGGGGCGGGGCCAGAACAAAGGAGCTTGGAGAGGGTCTTTGATGAGGTCAACTTCCTGCTTGATGAAAGTGTTCCTGGACATAAGGGGGGACCCAATCAGACACTCATCCTCTAAGTGGAGGATCCAATAGAAAGACTAAAACAGACGCGTGGACAGAGGGGGCACCAGTCAATAATAGTGAGGAGCACTTGGACAGGGGAGGAGATAAGAAACCAGGAAGTTCCAGAGACCATATGAAGAACAGACCCAAACTCCCCCACCAGATTCCCAGCTCCAGGGCCCCTTCTGTTTGGAGAATCTATTTGTGTTTCTCTGTCACTTTTGCAATAAAACTACTTCCTGCTTGCTAGCTCTGTGTCCTGTTCTTCAATTCTTTGTTGAACAGAGACGATGAACCCAGCACCCCTAGAGTGTAACACACCCTTCAGCACATCTCAGATGAGCAGCAGTTCAGGTGCTCAACAGCACAGCTTCAGAAGAATGGGCAAGGATTGAGAGGAAATCCACTTTGAGAGAAAGACAATAGACGGCTTTCTCAGCTGCACAGAACCAAGGGGAGGAAGGTCAAGTAGAATTACCACTCAGCATTTTCCAGGGTAAAATGTTTCTTCAATATATTAATTAAGTTTATAATTCAGGCCAAACAGAGAGAAAAGGAGCTAAGAATAACAGGTTGTGGGTTTCTGGGTATTTTTGGTGCCTTGGGTATACTTCATTTCATCTATACTTTGTCAGGAAACTTCTGTCCTTAATCAGACTTCTCAATAAAACTTCTACTGGGAAAAAGATTTAATATATTTAATACTTAACATAAGTATTAAAATTCCTATATGGGCTAATTGACAGTCAAGATGCAGATACAGGTAAGTGTATAGTAAAGATGGGTGGCTACCTCTTTCTGCTACCCCTGCCAGCTGCTGCCAATATGCCTGATCCAATGAGGACCAGGTCCAGGATTGCTCTTTTGTGTCTGGGACATTAAAGTGGTGTCCAGGAGGGGGAGAAAATGGCCAATTAAGCCTCCCCCTCAGGGTGAGTGTCTGGTTATATCAGGTGTGAGGAGGGCAGGGAAGCAGAGGTTAGGAATAGGGAGTGTCCAGCTGTGAAGAATGGAGCTTCTGCAGAGGAAGAAGATGCCAGCTGGCTCTGGGGTGACTGAGTGACATTGTAAGTTGTGTTGCATAGATAACTGTTAGGTGGCATGGTGGAATAGAGACAGCGTGGGGGAGGGTGCAGCAAAGTAGGAGACATTGGAATAAAGTGGTCTCAAGGAATTGTTTGAGAAAATGGTGAAGAGAGAGGTTAGACTGGAGGTCCAGGAGAGGGACAGTGAGTGAGAAGTGAACATGAACACATAGGATGTCTTCGGCTCCAGCTACCTCTGGCAATGGTAGAAAGGGGACTGCTGAAGCCACTGGGTGAGGCCCACGAGAAAGAGGGGAGAAAGAAGGAGAAGGAGAGGTGGGAGTAGGAGATGTGGTGTTGAGGTCAAGACAAGGGGCAGGGGGATGAAGGACAGGGCCAGACAGGAAAGATGGGTCCCTGTTTAGTGAAGGGGCCTCCAAGTGAGTTGATGGAGGTATGGCTGGGCGAGGTGACAGAGAAGCATAGGGTGGAGGTTGAGAAAGTGAAGAGTGATCTTGCGGCTAGGATTGGGAGGTAAAGGGGATAAGGGAGAGCGAGCAAGGAGGTCCTACACAGGGGAGCAGGAGTGACACAAAGAGGGACGAAAGTGAAGAAAAGAGAAGGCTTGAATACAGCGGATTTCGGTCAACTTGCTGCTGCAGAGACAGAAATTGTATAAATCCTGTATAACTTTGGGATTGAAGGTCCCATTCTCTGGCCAAGAGGAGTCATTATCTAATTTATATCGGGGCCAGGCTGTGTTACTATTGAAGACGAGTTTGGGAGATTTGAGATCTGGAGACAAATGGAGAGGGCAAGGGTTTCTGAGGAGACAGCCAAGGGGGGAGGGGCAGGGAATCTTGGTTTGGGCAGAGCCCAAGGCAAAGAGTTCTCAGGAACCCAGAGAAGGGAACAGGAGGGGAAGGGGTGTCCTCACAACCTCTCTGATTTCCCATGAAGAAGCAGACCATCAGTGAGGATCATCACCACCCCTGACAGGTCCATGGCTGAAGCCAAGGGAGGCCCTGACCCAGCGCCGGGATTTAACAAGAGAGAGCCAGTGAGAGCGCAGAGCCGCTACTGAAGGGTTCCAAGAACTCACCCCAGTAGAGGGAAGGCTGTCAAGAGTCGAGTTCTGTGGTGGGTGAGGAGGTCAGCAACAGCAAGAGGCAGAAACACCCTGTTGTGGATATTGGCCAGGGAGAATGAGGTACAGTCAAGGTGGCTCAGATCCCCATGAAGGGACAGCCAGCAGGCAATAACCATGGACCCTGTCCTGAGTTTCAGCACCAAAATGTTAGGGTAGCTGGTGCAAATATCC